AAATTATAGAAACCTTTGTTTTCCAAGGGACGGAATTTATCAACTGATTGCTTTAGCCGTACTAGATGAAAATGTGCTCGTACCGATTTACTTCCCGCCTTCTTGAAAAGACAACATTGACCTTGACATTCTTGTTATTAGGCGGTCATGGGTTACGAACGATTGGATATTATGCGAGCTCAGTCTATAGAAGGGTGTCTGTGAAAGATATTTATTTGGCTTGTCACCAGCTTTCTTGCAAGGGGCTTGAAAGTTGTGAAGAATGGCAAAAGAACACGAAATATTTTGATACTTTACTTCACGGTTAGGCTAGACCACCCAGAAGGAGGCTGTGTTAGGGAACTTAATCAATTTCTTCCCCTTTTTTTGTTGTTATTCACCTCTGACTCGAAAGGATCTCTTAGAATTTCCTCAGAAAGAAATAAGGGCTTGATTTTGGAGGACTTCAGATTTTGCGTTTTGATCACAAAAGAAGGCAAATGTTCAACCTTTTCTTCAAAAGTGATATTTATGATAAACATTTGTCATGAGTGTGGCATATAGAATAAATGGAAATCTCCCATTCAAGGATGCCAACCTTTGACCTTATTTTGTTTTCAAATGCTATACCACCACTGCATTCAGCTTTGTACATTTAAGATAATGTTTCTTTTTTTTTTCTTGTTGTCCAATGCTGTGGAAAACATGTTTTAGATCTATCTTTATATTTAGGTTTTACTCTAAAAATACTCTTCAGTGATTTATTTTTTGGTTTTGCATGGCCAAACCTCAAATCTTGATTAAATATTCCATTCATATGAAGGCAGCCATACCATGGTTTGGTATTGAACAAGAATATACCCTATTAGACAAAGATGGACACCCTCTTGGCTGGCCAAAGGGAGGTTTTCCAGGACCACAGGGACCCTACTATTGTGCTGTTGGTACAGGAAAGGTTTTTGGTCGAGATGTTGTGGAAGCTCACTACCGAGCTTGTCTGTATGCTGGTGTAAAGATTGCTGGAACTAATGCTGAAGTGATGCCTGCACAGGTTAGGAAACATGTTGATGAACGAAAAAACCTTGTTGTTTCATCTCTGACATGCACATCAACCAGGCAAAGTAATTATGAGTGAGAAGGATTTCTTTGTTAATTTGTATATTTGCTCGTAGTTGTCAAAGTATCAGTAATTATAAGTAAATTTTATTTACCCTTTTTTGAGGACTGTGCTTGTGGTAATAATTTGTATTTGAGGAGATAAGATTCATAGTTTTTTTAATTTTTATTTTTTTCTTAAATAAAGGGTAAGCAGCAGTTCCAACATGTCTTTTGTGGGCCAATCAATTTGAAGCTTAAACATATCTCTTCCCTCCCCCCATCCCTTCTGGCATTTGAACTTTTGAAGATTGGTTTGTTTAAATCCCTGCACTGTGGCCAAAATTGTGTTCAAATGCCTTTCCTAAATGCAGCATTAAGGGGTCAATTTCTCCTAAAAGGCAAGATCAGTGACCATGACTTTCTTGTAGACCTTTCCTCCTGAGCCATCCACTTGTGATAGTGAACTACTTACCTTAAAACACCTCCATTTTAAGAGATAAAGCATATGTATTCCTTTGGACAGGTTGACAGTTGTGGTTCAAATTCCCCATCCCATCTAGGCAAAGTTCTAATTTCCCACCCCCTGAGCATGGATGACTGTCAAATGCCATTGGGTTGCCTGTGAAGTTGGGGGGGGGGGTGTCAAAGCTTCAAATTTACCGTACATTATCAATGTCATTGAAGATTGATCATGACTGAATTCTTGTCCTAACCTTGTAGTGGGAATATCAAGTGGGTCCATGTGAAGGAATCAGCATGGGTGATCAGCTCTGGGTGTCAAGATATCTTCTTCACCGTGTGGCTGAAGATTTTGGTTACAAAGTCTCCTTTGACCCAAAACCCATGCCAGGGGACTGGAATGGAGCTGGTGCACACACTAACTACAGGTGAGGAGGTGTTGTATACCTATAACACAATTTGGCTTAGTATGAGGTGGAACAAATGTACAGCCTTGGGTTAGTGAACTTTTTTCATTTATGAAGTAGCACTGCAGATAACCTAATTTGAATAAATATACATAGATATACTTAATAGAATCAAGTCTACAAGGGCCACAAGGTGACATCTAAACATTGTGCATAATTGGATATTTCTGTTGAGTCTTGGTCAACCTCCAGGGAATGTCCTTTACAGTGACACAGACCTATCACTTGACCTACCAAATCCACACAAGAAATTTATGGGACTCATTTATCAGATAAGTGAATAAACTAGGGATCTTGCCTATTGCAGTACACTTGCCATGAGAGAAGAACATGGAATAAAGGTGATCTATGAGGCCATAGAGAAGCTATCCTTGCACCACGACTATCACATCAGCATGTATGATCCAAAGGGGGGAGAGGACAATAAGCGTCGTTTGACAGGTCGTCATGAGACTGCCAGTATAGATTACTTCTCTCATGGTGTGGCTAACCGTGGAGCTAGTGTAAGAATTCCCCGTCAGTGTGCTGAGGATGGCTATGGTTACCTGGAAGACAGACGTCCTGCCTCCAACTGTGATCCTTACAGAGTAACGGAGGCCATTGTGCAAACAACTATCTTGGGCCACAAAAAGGAGTAACATCACAACACTATGCGTGAAAGAACATGAAGTGTAGTAATCATTTTATTAACTTACTAAGCTTATTTTGGATTATCTTCCTAAGTAAAACAAGAGGGGGTAAGAGCGCTCTTGAGTACATTAGCAACAGTTAAAGTTAAACATTGTTATCTTCCTTTCTTTATGGGTAGGAAAAAGATCTTTTAGATCACCATTAGGCTAATACCTAAATTGTTTAGATTCTAGTAATACAAAAATATTGTACATGGCATGAATGCCTCTAAATGTAGGAGACATGGAGAGATACCCAAATTGAATTTATTTATAAGCCACTGGGTTGAAAGTTTAGTTTAATAACCAATATTATAATTTAACTGTATTAGTTTGTTTGAATGGAATATTAAAGTGCCTGTTTACTATCTGACTTGAGTTTTGTTCGTGGCTCTATACAACCAAGGCTTTCCCCTTTACAGAGTTTGTATGGGTTGTGGGAAACCTGGAAAGTCCTGGAATTTTATTTCGACACTTTCCAGGACTTCTACTCAACTCAAGCAATAAAGTTTAAAGAATTTACGTCATAAGAAATGAATGTAGACTGTAGGGAGAGTTGATTTTAAAATTCTAAGAATGAAAGGGTTTATAGTGAAATTTGGAGTCTTGGATTAATCAGTTCAAGTCCTGGAAAAGACCTTGGAATTTTTTTTCTCTGAGAAAGGGTACTATCCCTGCATTTACAGTGCTTCTTTAATAATGTGACCAAAAAATTTCATCCATGTTTGCCACAGAAGTGATGTTTTCAAAATATTTTTGCTATTGTGCTGAGCTTGCCTTGATCAATCTTCTCGGGACTCAAAAGGATTTCAATTTTGGCACATTTTGCTTTGAAGTTTCAATTTGATTTTCTTAAACGTTTAGTTTGATTAATCAGCATAGTGCCTTGTAAGTCATGAGTGTAAGGGATGGGGTGGGAGAGTTCCAAGATGAACAGTGAACACATTACAAATCTTATGTTTCTATGGAAAGTTTTTATTGTCATTCTGACTAAGTATGTGGAAATGCATTTCACCAGCAAATCTGTAAAAAATACAGTGCCTTTCTCTCTGTATTTTACTTGATAGACCCTTTATTCTTTTATTGGATAAAATAAACTCTTCTGAAATGCATTTAACCAGCAAAGGAAGTCTGTAAATACAATTTACAGTGCCTTTCTCTCTGTATGTTAGTTGATAAACCTTTTATTCTTTTATCGGATAAAATTAACTCTTCTGCTTCCACTGTGGCACCAATGAAAAAAAAAGTAAGTGCTTTGTATAATAGCATGAATTTATTCAAGGTAGGGTTCAGTGGACTGTAAGTAAAACCTCTGATAGAACTATGTATTACGACTGGGCTCTTTTCGTTTAAAAACGATGTGCTACTAAGTCAGTGATACATTCTTATATGAAAATCGTGATCAATATTTACATCACCTGATAGCTGCAGGCGCAAAAAAAAAGTTAACTGAATATGATACTTTCTATGCATTTTTTTTATATTTAAAACTGCAGACAATATTAAAATGCCAAATTTAATTTAGGTTGCCAAGGGTTAAACTAAAAATAAGTGTTTCAGGAATCTTGCAAAAACTGCTTCGAGAGCCTGTTCCGATTGTGTTCGGCAGCTTTTGAGCAATTTTTGGTGTACGGAGCAACTCTCTGCGATTCCAGCAACACCGAGAAATGTTTGTATATCTGAGCATTTTTCGCGCAAAGTAGAGGTGTAAAGCACATTTCAAAATTCATATAAAACCTCAATTTATGCAAGTTTCTTGAATGACTATCAGCCTTCTGAACACATCACACTCAGCCAAATGAGTCATGTATTTTGTTCCCTTTCAACTATGAATATCCTTAAATTTCGCCCTTATTTTAAAGCAACCCTTTAAAGCTTAATTTTGAGCTATTTTTCTTGCCTAATGTTAGTAATCATTATGAAGAACGAATAAAACTTTTAATTACCGCTTCTTTGAAAATATCAAGAAAGTTAGGTCGCAACTTTCTGAATTTTGGTAGCAACTATTTGGATTTTTGATAGTTTCTTAAAAACTTTTTGGTATTCTAGTGAGAAACCTTAGAGCATTTTACGAGCACAATTGAGATAAGCCTAGTCGTCCGTATAAAGGGGTAAGTTTCTAAAGAAACTGTGTGCGATCGTTCTGACGAAGGGCTAACGCTCGAAATGTCAGCTTTTTTACCCTTTACGATGGCTAATTTACGTTTTCAACCCAGTTGTTAACACTAAATTACCTGTTAGTCGTCTGTAGTTCCGTTACAGGGTATCCTTTTATCTGTGCGGCGTTGGTTGAGCCATGGCTGGTCTGGGCTCGAGTGTACTGTTCCCTTGGTAACCTCTCTTGCTGTTGATAGAAGAAATGGCGGATTATTTTGGGTAAAGAGGCCAAACGTTTGTTTGAACGTCCCTTCAGGGCATTATAAAGGAACAAAATGACTGATATATTGTGCCGGTGGCTTAATGAAGATGTTAAGCTGAGCAGAATTATAGGTGAGATCCTGAAAACCAGTGTCTAGAAGTGCCCCACGAACGGGTGAAAGGTGCGCAACATGCAACGAGTGGAGGATATACTTGTCTGAAAACAGCCTAAAAGATGTGCTGTGTTGTCAAATTATTCGATACGTAGGACATTAATCGTCCCATCTTGCATAAGCTTATTTAAGAATTTTGGTTTGTAGCTTTTTAAACACAGCTTGCACTCGACCTCATCTGCATGCAAAGACAATTCCGAAGATCTTACAGTTTCAAATACTCCAATGTGTCTTACTTGATGTTTTTAAATCTCACGTTAGTCAGAGTTTCATAGAATTAGAATCTCCATTGCGACCTTTCCTGATGATATTTGAAGACAAAAAAAATTACGTGACTGCACCATCTCAGGGAAATAAAATGAGTTTAAATTGCTAGATTTTAGTTACAAGTGCAGTGGCTGGAAAAATACGCGATACAGCCTACAGATAACAATTCAAAAGGCAGCTTTATTCTGTTATACATTGCTTGTCACCACGTAATGACGACGCTTTTTTTTTGGAAAATATCTCCACACATACATGTATAGGATAAGGTGTAAAACAAAACTAATCTGTAGCTTGATAATTTCTACTGGTGATTATGGAGGATGTTTCTACGTATTCAACCTGTTTGTAGCTATGAAGAAGTGCATCTGTATCATTTGTTATATACCTGATGACCCCTCCCTCCCCTTTATTACTTAAAGCTTAACTTTATTTATACATGGAAGATTCCAATAATGCCACTGACAGTAAATTTTTATGTTTAGGTTTTGGGAGAGTATTTACAAGTTACAATATATTTGTTTGAGTTAACGATCTCTTTCAGAAGATGTTTTTCTCGTCTATTAATCATTTGTCCTTACTTGTTAAATTTAGATCCCATAAACATTGCCAAGGAGTTTTCTACAGGTTTCTTACTTGGAGAACTCTTAAATAAACATGGTTTACAAGAGGATTTCTCTTTCTTCTCCCAAAACATGTAAGCAATGACTTTATGTTGACATAGATTGTTAAACTTTGAAAGAATATTCTGCCTCTCTAAACCCTAATTAGGTTGCAATTTTTAAAATTTTACTCTTAAATAATTTATATTACATGTAGCAGATACAACATAAAGTGTAGATTTGGACTCTTCACTGATTTTTTTGCATTTATTGTCAGTGATAAAATATAGTAGAGTGCAACTAAGGTACATGATATTGTTGATTTGACGTTGATATGAAAATTAGGTAATACAGAATGTATCGATTTAAATATATAATAGATACTAATAGTATGCCTGAATTTTGAACAACATTTTCTTAGTGCCTAGTAATGTTTAGGGGAGGCCTAATGCACATATTTTATACAGATAGGCTGTTCTCTCAAGTAATCTTTATTTTCTGTCTGCATCTTCATCTATCAGTGATGAATCATTAAGTTTGACACCTTTTTACACTACACTTAAACTTTATATCAATAAAATAGTGTTGTAACTAATTTCATGTTAACCATTTTTAAGCACTTCTGACTCAAAACTTCATAATTTCACACGGCTGGAACCAACCTTAAAGTTGTTGGAAGTTCCCTTTGATACAAATGTGGTAAGTAAATTTATCTTTCTAATATTCTAAACATTATAGCAACTTGTCCTGTTGAAACAAAGAAAACAAAATTATTGAAACCTACAGTAGTTTGAGTTTCGAACTTGATATACTATTTCGTATATGATATAAACCACACAAGTTATATCACACAAAAGCACTATTTTTTTTATAACCAATGAATTACACATAAAAAGAGAAGCACAATGTAATGTAAACTTAGAATGGTCAATGTGCCAATTTTAGTGATACAACTTTCTAGCAGCCTTTGATATGGTCCACCATTGTTATCTAACTGAAGCCCTTTGTTTTCTTCAGGCACAAGCTATCATGAGTGAGAATCACAGTGCTATCACAAGACTGATGTACCAGCTCTTTATAGCACTTGGAAAGAAATCTGTGAGTGTAATTAGTTGTGCCACTAGTATCAACAGGGTTGTCACTAAGTGCCTACTGCCAGTAAAATTTTCCAGATAAAAAAGCAGTGCATGGCAGTGGACTAAATTTTATTGCTCATTAAAGCACAACATTCACTTCTGAAGTTACATACTTACAATCATTTGATATTGAATGCTATCACGAGGAAAATATTTTTATATTTTTTTGACTGACCTGAGTATTAGTGACACTACCACAAGTAAAAAAGATGAAATTAAACATTGTTTTTAGCATTTGTTTATAGTGATTTCTCTCCCTTTCTTGCACCCACCATTCAAAATGTTGTGAACCAGCAGTAGTGCCTCTGTTAAGGTACCATCTTTTAAGCCGCCTCACATGAAATTTCAGCTGGCAGCCTAACTTCTTAGCTGCAACCCTGTATTGTTGTTCCTAAATCTATTTTGTATTTTTTACCAACTTAGTTACTCAGCCACATGTTGGGGACAAGCTAAATATTGATGAGTTTTTGCTCTTAGAAAGGAATCTGAACAGAATTTTTTAACCCTTTCACCCCTCATAGGAGTGTCTAGCATCTAATTTGTCCTTACGATATCACCCCGTAATTGCACATTAACGTCAGAAGAATAAAGCAAATGATCACCAACTAAAGAAACCTTGACTGTTTAACAAATTCTCCTTGTCAGCACCTTAGGAAATGTACAGAGAACAGTGTGGAGAATATGCATACTGATGTTAGGGTGTAAAGGGTTAATGACATGAATTTCACTTTGGATCTGGTGGATGCCTGGTGGTCAGGTGACACCCATGGCAGCTTGTGGTTACTCATGATTACTTCTAGATTGGACCCTTAGATATATCTAGGCCTCTTGTGTGAGGTGTCATTTGTAGTATCAAGTAACCTGCAAAATGATAATATCTCAGGTGGTACTGAATATCTACATGCATCTTTTCTTACATATTGGTCAAAGTTGCAATTTATGAGGCAGTTAAGTGGTAAACTTTAGTTTTGAAAAAAAATGAATCATCTATATGAAACTATCTTTGAAGATTGAAAATAAATAATTTTTGCCTAGGATTTTTGTCTCTTGTCATTAACTGTTATTTTATTTTGTTTCTTTATAATATATATAAGAAAATGGGACTAACAGGAGTTGCTATGGAAACCATGAGACCCAGTGGCCCAGTGAAGCTGGAAAGTATTGAAAGTGGACTTTACAAAGAGGTTAGTACCATCAGTCATAAGAATCATGTACAATATAAATTTAACAGTGGTATTGAAAGTTGGTCCATAGCTCTTCATAATTATTAGCTAAGAGATAACTTAATAGAGTCCCTCTGCTCTCACTTTAAGGAGGACACGTATGCAATGTAATATTCTTTTGTGAGAAGTCCTACCAAGCTAATATTAGAAAGTGATAAGTATACCTCTAACATTGTGATATATACTTTTAATTGTGGAAGAACTTAGATGAACTGAATTCTATTCTGTCTTGTTATGAGTTAAGTGTTGGTTGACTGCAGGTTTGGTTCCTTGTATTTATGTTTGCTTTATCTCACATAAACCATGGATATTTACAGTGATCATTTGCTACTGTATTTAAACAAGTCTTTTTTTATGGTATAAATGCTGTGGTGAGCTTTGTAATTATTAATGCTTGACTTCGGTTAAAACTGCCTCTTACCTCAGTGGCTCTTTTTTAAGTTACATTTCATTTTCTCTGTTTGACTTGAGAAGTACTTGTGTAGAGATCACTTTTTTGGTGAATCATTTATTTCAATAAAGGCGCAAGTAAAATGTGATTGTTTAGTGCTTTGCCAAGTCATGTACTTACAGTAGACAAATCAGAATAACACAAGAGAATCACTAATTAAAAGTTAGCCTCAAATTTCAGAAAAAAATAAAAAACAAAACGAGATTTCTGTACATGACAAACCTCACTATTACATAATTTCTGGTGCACAAAGTAGCTGGTGAAAAATGGTCTGACAGCTAACTCAGGTTTCTGTTGCCTACTAGCTTCTGATAGCAACCCAGCAGACAGCTATTATCCTTACTATTGTACAGTTGTCTTGATTAGCATGTAACCATTATGATCATACTATAACTGTAGAACTCAGCAAATAATTGAATGTAATTAGTTTTGACCTTGGTCCTGATGGCAGAGAGTCTTATTACATTTTGCATTTTATGAAGTATTAGTGAAAGGTACAAGTCCTATTTTAGTTTGTGTTTTAGAAATACCTAAAATTTACAAAAATCTAGTTATGATGATTCTAAAATTCCTAGTTGAAATAAATTGTTACTTGTGCACAATGATTTCTTTGTATGTCATAATAGTCTACCAATAACATAGTGCATCATCTATCATCTTGTTCATAACTGATATCATAGATTATATGAAAGTTGAATTTTGCTCTAATTTTGATTGGTTGTTAATTACATATAATCTACTGGAGGACACTGATGTATAGAAGATGTCACCATGAATAACATTTTGGCTTTTGATCTCATAGACCAAATTGATTCCATGTTGTAGTAGGACTGTACCATACAATAGATTATGGAAGATGTCAAAATGTGGTAAGAACATCTGATTCAGTGACATGCTTGGCTGAGCCTCATGTGCCACTTTTTTGTTCTTACCACATTTTGACGTCATCTGTGATTTTACTACTGAGCAGATGTTGGAAACATGGAATCCATTTGTTGACTGCACCATCCATTCAGTTAAAATATACTATTCAATAATAGCCATCAAAAGGTATCTGTCGATCTTTCATGAAGAACTGTTATCTAGGTATGTTTCAATATTAAGTAAAATTTACCAAATTACACACAACCAACACATTCTTTGTCTGTTTACCTCAGAAAATTACCTTGAAACAAGACAGTGTGGCCATAGCTAGAGACCTTCTTCACTCAGCTGTCAAAAGCTTTGTGCATGAAGTTGCAATTGAAGCAATCCGTGATCAAATAAGTAACTTGGCAGTTGATCTTGTGAAGGATTTGCAGGAAATTTCTTTTGAAGTTGTTCATGACATGAGAACAGTTGTTGCCCAAGTTCGTGAACTTGGACAAGATAGAACTTTAAAAAAATTTGCTAGGAATATAATGAAAGATGTCTTATCCACTTCTCGAGTAGTTATGCAATTTATAAATGATCTTGATGATATAATCCAAGTTCTCAAAAATGTGTTTGAGACGACCATTAGTTGAGTGTTATTTTATTTGCTTTCTGTATTACCAGTAGCTCATAGTGCTCAAATTTTTGGAACATATATGTTGTGGTAATAGTGATTATAATTTTTTTTCAAATATATATGTAAATTTTAAAAGGAGAAGCCATAAATTTAAAATTCTTTGAAGTTAATAAATGAAAATAGCACACTTTAATACATGGTTTCCACAGATCTGTAAACTTCTTCAAGGTCAGGGTAAACTAAGGGAATTTCACTTTGAGTCAGATTCTTTAGTAAATTGCATGGACATGAAAGGTGTTGGATCAGTAGAATGATGTGTGATGAAACTAAATGACAAGCTGATGTTGGGTCTTCAAGAAAATCATTTCCCAAATCAATTCATATACAAAGTATGTGACTTGTTGAAAGCATACATTTATGTGTGGAGAGCATGGTTGAAGGACATTATCAGAACTTGTTTGTTTAATTATTATTGATTCATCCAGTTGGGAAAATTTTATGTTTGTCAGGGAAAAGTCAGGGGAATCAAAAACTTACGACTGTGGCAGCCATTTAGTAGGTCATTGTTCTTTTAAGTTTGAGCCGATTTTGATTTAATTATGCAAGTGTATCTTAGGCTAAAAAATGAAGTGTAAAATAGTTACTGTCAGTATTACCCAGGTACATTATGAGTAAAATAATTTTTGATTTTAAAGCAAAGACCTCAAAGCTGATGTTGAGCCAATTAGATATCATATTGATTTTAAACTGGAGAAGGTTTGCCACCTATATGCTTAAGGAAAAATTTACAACAGAAAAAACAAAATCAAAAGCAAGTCACAGAATTGTAAAGGGAAAATCTTAGAAACCTCTCACATTTTTGTATTACATTATTGAATAATAAATTGGCTCCTCAGGGTATTTTCAAATAAATCTCCCTTCAGAGCTAGATTTACAAAATAAAACAAAGTTAATTTCTCTCAAAGTCTTCCCTCAAGATATTACCAGTTTGGCTAATGACATAATAAGGCCTCTGTTTTGGGTGTCAATTTTATGACTAATGTCATTACCATGGCTTAGATACCTTAATATCTCTACTTTCCCACTGTGAATCATCTTCATTCTTTGCCACATATTGGAAATTATATTATCTGACATTTTGAAAGTATAAAAAGCCTAAGGTCATCTAGATGGTTACACCAATATCCCCCTTGCATGCATAAAATTTTGAATCCATTGCCATTTTGCAATCTTTCCCCTAGTGGTTTCTTTTCTGTTGACCTCTTTTTTTCAGGCATAGAGGGTGAATGGATGTCATGGGTATAGTTGCTGGAAACCCTAGATTTCATTAGATAAAAGCTGTATTGTTTTGTATGTTGAGATTTTTTAAAGCTTGTACCATATGTGTAGTCAGATCTTGCATGGTCAAAAACCTTATGGAGCCTCTTTAAGTTTACTGCTGGTAAGTTTTCCCATGATGTCTTCCTTTTTTACAAACTGAAGGTGCTGTTTTTAAACATGTCTTGGAAGGTGATGCTTTCCCAGTTTTATTACCAAGCAAAACTACAACTTGTTAAAGGTGAACTTTTCCAGGAAATCATACTAATATAGACATGACTGTGAGAAGAAAATTTCTGCTTGACCTGAAGAGTTTGCATCGGCTACATACATCATTCCTCCCCTCCCCCCTTGCCCAAAAAATTTCATGAGTTTGACAATTTTTATGTAGCTTGGGAATTATGGGTACTCTAACTTTGGTCTCCATCAGTTGACTTAATAATTAGAAGAAGGAAAAATGATTAAAATCATACTCCATTTTTAAAAATTTAATTATACTTTTGCATGTTGTTAAACTTAATGAAGGAAACTCAATTGCCCTCAGTTATCTCCTTCCAGATATACATCAGATGTTAAAAGCATAACAGTCAGACTTTCATACCCTAAGTGTGAACATGTAGGTTCAACTCTATGAACTCTATGTATTTTAACCATATTCTTCTTAACCATGTTCTCTAGTAAAACCATTTGCTCCAAGGTGGACCATATTATAAAGTTAAACAATGTCTACCTACTGGACCATTTTCTCTAGTTAGACCATTTTCTCTAGTTAGACCATTTTAAGCAGTTGGAACATTTTAACTAGTCAGAACATTAGCTACCAGTTTGACCATTTTATATAGTCAGACCATTTCTACAAGTTGGACCATTTTATGCATCATTTTAAGTGGTTTGATCCTTTAAACTGGTTGAATGATTTTAATCAGTATGACCATTTGGACTTTGTTAGACCATTCCCATCACTTGGACCTTTTTTCATCAAGCAAGGCCATTTTGGACCATTTTAGTTAGTTAGATCATCTTATCCATTTAGACCTAACCATTTTTACCATCAGTTGTGCCCTTTTTCCAGTTTGGATTTTTTCTTTATTCTGACTTTTTTATCCATTTGAAATATTTTAATAGGTCGCATAATTTTAACTGGTTTGATCCTTTTAAGTTGGTAGACCATTTAGTTGGACTGAGTAAGACCATTCCTACCAGTAGGATTATTATATCTGGCTAGACCATTTTAACCAAGTTGACCACTTTCACCAGTTGGACCTTTTTTCCAATTTTGCTTCGTTAATTCTTTAAATCATTGTAACCAGTTTAATCATTAAATGTGGTAGTATCCTCTTAACTGGTTGGAGCATTTTAAGCACCTGGAATATTTAGCTGGGCCACTTGGATCTGGTCAGTTAGCAGTTAGACTAGTTTATCAAAGGAACTATGTTAACCAAATCGAACACTTTACCCAATTAGACCATTTTATCTCTTCAGACCATTTCAGCCAAATGGACTTTTTTAACAAGTTGGACCAATTTTTGACTTCAGACCATTCTGCAGTTGGACCATTTTCCCAAATTTTTACCACTTAAACCAATCAGATCATTTGCAGAAGTTGAACCATTTTATCTTGCAAGACAATTTTAAGTGGTTAGACCATTTCAAGTGGCTGAAAGTTTCTGTTTATATGTTATGGTTGAATAACTGTAACCAGTTGGACCATTTTCTTTAGTTAGACTATATTAATGGTTGGAACCTTTTTCTTTTTTAAGGACTAAATATGAAATAATGATCATTACATTGTTGATGACAGTGGTGCATTTTTGTGTCCTATGATTGATGGTGGGCACTGTCTAATAACTCAGTAGGTGTAATACTGAGTCCAATCAGAAGCTTAGCTGACAAGCCTCTGGTTCAGTATATGGGAAATGGACAGTTCCTAATTTGTGACTTTCTAGTTATTAATGTTGTAAAATATTAGCTATAAGAAAAGGGCTATGTATTTCAGAGAGAACCGAGGCCTCTTTATGAAAACAAGCAAAGCCTTGTTATGAGAGAAAAAAGGGTCACTTATGGAAATTAAACTCATTTTCTTAAGAGAGGTTTTGCACTTGTCATTATTTTGAAAGTAATGATGGTACAGGCAACTGAGTAGTTATAACATTAGGCCATTGAGTTTGGTTTACGGTCAACTCGCCGACGGACCAACTCGCCGACACCAACTCGCCGACGTATAAAATCGAGTAGAGACGTCGGCGAGTTGGTCGTCAATCCAATACAACTTATTAGAAGCTAAACATACAGAAAATTAAACGATATTTAGTAAAAAAACATTGGACATTGGTGAACATCAAACAGAAGCTTAAACATCGGTGAACATTGGTGAACATTTTTTTTTAACGAAAATGTGGCTTTCTAGACGAGATCTTTAGTAAAAAACTGAGCGATTGATATGCTGAGTCTTAACGGTGTTGTTGTCACACAATAACTCGTTCGCGTCTGAAGCTGTTAGAGTCGTTGGTGAGGTTTACTTCGCTTTATTCGCCTTAAGATCCTTATAAACTTTGTTGCAAATAAAAATAATTGCATTTTACTAAAGATCTCGTCTAGAAAGCCAAGTTTTCGTAAAAAATCTGAGCGATTGACAAGATGAGTCTTTACGGTGTTGTTGTCGCACAATAACTCGTTCGTTATAGTCATTGGTGATGTTCACCAATGTTCACCGATGTTTAAGCTTCTGTTTGATGTTCACCAATGTTCGCCAGTGTTTTTTTACTAAATATCGTTTACTTCTCTGTATGTTTAACTTCTAATAAGTTGTATTGGATTGACGACCAGCTCGCCGACGTCTCTACTCGATTTTATACGTCGGCGAGTTGGCGTCGGCGAGTTGGTCCGTCGGCGAGTTGACTGGTTACCATTGAGTTTGCAGTATGCCATCGGAATTAAGAATGTTATCCTTAAGGAGTTTTGACTGTTGTTCTTCACTTTAGCGACTGAAGCAGCTAACCAAACGTCAAGTGGATTTGAATTTTGAGCAACTAGTTCAGAGATACCAAGCCAAACAGAAACAGCAGGAGGATTTGGCATTTAAAGCAAAGTATGTTGTGACACTGATAACCAATCGTATAAAATTAGACACACAGTAACCATTTGATGCAAAAGTATGCTTGGATAATAGGCAACAGACAGCTGTTCTAAGTTTGAAACTCAAGGAAAACTGCAAGCTTTAAGAAACAGATAAGGTCTAAAGTAAAATATTTTAGCATATTTTATAGTGAAATAGAGGCTACTGCATCATTCAAATACTTTTGTAGTATCCCCACATTAACTTTTGTTCATTGATATTCATTGTTTAAGATAAAATTTCAACTTTTAGGTTTGAGGAAGAAGAAAGAATGAGAAAGTACCTACAAGGACAAAGACGACAAGGTTTGGACAAGGTAACATGGAAGGCTGCTATTACTGTAATTAACCTTCTTAAGATAACTGTGACAATAGGTTTTTCACACTAATTCAACTTTTGGGGGGAATGCAACAATGGGGGAAAATAGCTTGGTGGAGACCACTTGCAGCAGGAATGGAAACTTGTCACAGTTTCATGGCACATACAGACCTGCTTCAAGCAAACTTGCTACAGACATCAAGGATTAGACAGCGTTTGGTTCCACAGTAACTTTTTTTTAGTTCATGTCAACAACCAACATGAACTCAACTAGCATACTCAACTTCGTAATGGAAAAAGCTTCACAATGTACTTGCTTAAGTGAAAGACTATTATTACACAAATTTCGATATTTGAATAAGGTTATAAAAGGGTGTCTCTTTGTAGTTAAGCAATTCTACTTAATATTCCATCTGTTTGGAAAGAATTTAAAAACTAAGAAATAGATACAATAGACTCTAGGCCATTAAAAAGAGCAAACTTCAGTCAACTTTCAGAGCTTTGATATTAAAAACACTTATCGTAGTTGTGTTAGAGTAGCTTAGGAAATGAAAGTGAGAAGTAGTTATAATTTCTACTTATCTATGTGATGTTGATGTTAAGTTTGGAACTGTTAAGTTTTGAAAAGCAGCAACATCAGAAGTTATTATATGAAAAGAAAGCGAACTTAAGAGCACAAACTGAGTAGTCCATGGACTGGGGGTGAGTCACCCTTTTTAGAAGTGCTGTCTATTTTGTTAAAAGTGCTAAAAGCTGCTAGGAGAGTAAGTTTTATTTTACTTTCTGATTGATTTCTTTTAGTCAAAACAAGCCAAACAAAAGCAGTTGGAGATGATGGGTAAAATAAGGTAATCAGAAGCAAACCCAGCCACTTTAGAACTAACCTGTAACTGCTGGATTTCAACACAAAGATAAGAACTCAAGCCATTTATCATATTGTGGCTGCATAGGGATTGGGACAGTTTTGTGCCACTATAAAGATTCAATATCTTGGAAGTTGATCTCAGGTTTTAGCAAGATAACTTTCTTCACTTGATGATTTTAAATCTATGGTTGCCAGAGAGCACAAACCAATTTTTTTCCTTTTTTTTGACAAAGGATTTGCCTAATATCTTTTTTCAATTTGTAACTTGATTTAGAGGTATTATTATCAAAATTAAGGTGGAAAAAGTGGTAGCCCAAAAATCCTCTAGATCTGTATGTCACAATCAGCAGTCTTCACCAATACCCACCTGGCACAGGAAACAATTTATAACTAAATAAGCAAAACGTTTTTCATGCTCTCTGGTTACCTGTAATGGTAAAAAGCCAAGACTATGGGCTTTCCACCAAAAACTCAACAATCAATAATTGTTATATGTCATCCATTAATTAACAATTACTATGTCATCATTGATTAACAATTATTAACCAAAGTGGAGGTGAGTAGTGGTGGACATTTACCTTGCTGCTTTGCAGCTCAGTAAATATCCACCACTTTTGATGACACTGACCTGAATAATAACACCAAAAATAGTTTATTTCTCTCAATATACCAAAAAATGGTCAGAAATCAAACTCTTGTCACACAATTTGGTCTCATCAGCTACTCAGAGAGGATATAGTACTTCCTATTTACTCCCACACTAGCCAATTGGTGCACGTGAAAAGCACTATTCACTTGTGTGTGTTGATGTGTTGTTCTTTTTTTTTTCTTCAGGGATGCAACAGTGAGGATTCCCAAACCTCCTGATTCCAAGGTGAAGTTTACAGAGCTGTTATAACTTACAAATTAGATAATGTTTGAAATGTTCAAGTTGATCCCTGTTATTGTTCAGTGGACTTTGTTAATATAGGTGTTGCATTGAGGTACCTAAAGAAAAAAGGTTGTCAATCCTTTCCTGAGTGTTGAAAATATAGGGCTATAGAATGGAGATGATTTATTTTTTGAAGAAACTATCACTAACAGTAAGGAGATAAGTGTTTTAAGTTTAGGGGAAACTGTCAGATACTGTTGCACCCTGACTCTGTGATTAGCTGAATTGTGCACATATTGAAATCCTTATTGATATAATAGGCATTAAGGATGCTTGGTAGATGATTACTCATGATCCTTGTCAACACCTGTATTATAAGTTAATATATTGTGTCACTTAATATCTTTTGTTCCATTGTCTTACATTGTTTGAGGATTCTTTCAGTGTAAACAATAGATATGGAATAGAAGCTGCAAGTACACGCAGTTGAACTTCCTGTATCCTTCTATAGCTGTTTATTAAGTGAGTACTCAAGTTTGTCATAAACTGAATGTTTTACCTTACCATTGCAGAAAACGGCAAAATCTCGGACTGAAATCAGACGTCAAAGGGAAGCAGAGGTGATAGGTTTGGATTGACTTTTGTACTGAAGCAAGGCCACATAGGGAAAAAAAATTTCTTTTCAGCTCATTTGTTCTTTGAATTGTATTTTATAGATAGTTGAATGAAAGGGGGATTCAGGTGTGTTTTGAAAACAACCTTGATTTTAAGTCAACTCATGAATTTAACCTTAATTTCAATCAACCTTGAAATCAACCTTGATTTTGAAAAACAGCTTTCCACATTTTGGAGACAAACTTGATTTCAAGAAAACTTGAATTTTTCACAGGTGAATGATATTCACAGTGTCTCACTCATGATTTCTGATGAGAGTGTAAATATTATCATCTTAACAATTCTCTTGAATGATTCTCTTGTCATGCCATCGATCAGGGTGTTGATTTTTTGTGTGAAGATTTTCAATGAATGTTGTATCTTCTCACAAAGAAGTTGTGGTGTGCCTTGATTTGTTCTTCTGTCAAAAGAGTGCCTTTGTAAATGAGAAGAGTATGACAGTTTCATCAATAATTCACACTTTCAAGCTCAGGGTTGATGATGTTGAGCTGAGCATCTAAGGGGATGAAGATATGACATTTAACATTCCCTAAACCTGATACTTTCCTGTTGATTGCAAGCTGAACTCCTTCTTTCATATTCACCAATTTCAATCCACTTCCATGAAGCTCACTGTCTCTCATACTCTTGATGTCAGGATTAAATATCCTCTCACTGTTTCTAGCAAGAGTGACATATGGCTCTTTAAAATAAGAAGAAGTTCCTTCATTTACCTCCTTGGAACATGATGCTCTCATTGATTGCTTGTATGTTTGGTGAAATGTTTTGGATATTCATAATGTTGAATCCCACCAAACTCAAAAGCTAATTTTAGTGTATCACAAAAACCATCTAATTCAAGCAAAAAACCAGTCTGACCATTCATAAGTCATGATGGCCTGACATTAGGAAATTTTTCATTGAAAATATTCTCAAAGTCATGATAATTTTGAATTGTGAGATGGTTAGAAATGAATTATTTCATAAGAATATAATGTAGGCCTCTGGCTGGGCCCCGAAGGAGTAAAACTTCTGAATCCTTATTTCCAAAGCACTGTAATAGAAAACTTGAAGCAAAAGACAAATCTGAAGAATATAACAGTTCAATGAATGCTATCCATGCTGAATTCAGAATTTTGGTCATAGAGGAAGCAAATGAAAATTTCAAAGGGTGACATCTTTAGACATACATCTTACAGAATACAGACCATTATACAGCAGCTCTTACGGTGAACTCCTAGAATTCATTAAAAGTAAGAAAGCAGTTGTAAATATTAAAAATGCAGATAATCATTGTTTCAAGTGGTTGATAACAAGAGTGCTTACAGTTGAAAAAGACCTTCAAAGGATCACAAAGATTCTCAAAGCATAATCTGAGAAGCTTGACTGGAGTGGCATCAACTTCCCTAGGAAGCTGCACGATGAAAGAAGAAAAAATTGCAGTAAACGTGCTTGGTAATGAACAAGCTTCTTTGAGGCCTGGCTGAAGGCTTGATTTTTATCCAATGAGGATAAGGAAGTAAGCCTTTGGCTGGGCCTCAATGGGGCAAGCCTTTGGCAAGGCTGCAGAGTGGCAGAATAAAAAGAAGCATGTCACCAACCTTCTGATAGCAGATGATGAAAAGAAACACTACTGCCTGATAAACAACATGAGCAGACTATCGTGTCAAACCTCAAAGCACAACAATATTGTCTCAGGTGTCTGAATCACTTCTCAAGCAAAGAAAAGCATGCACTCCATAAAGAGTATTTCTCAAGGAAGGAGGCAGACAGGATTGAGATGCCAGATGAGGGTAGTGTAATCAAATTAAAGAATCATAACCGCTCAGTAGGAGTAAACTTTGTGGTTTATGTTGAGTTTGATTCTTCTACTAAGTCAATGAGTAATTGTGAGCTAAGCAGTGATAAGAACTTCACTAATCAGTATCAAAAGCAGAAACCAGGTGGGATCAGCTATCACATTGTTTTCTTTGATAGTAAGCTTTATTCACAAGCGCCAGTTATCTATAGGGTAAAGAGCAAGGATGAAGATGTTGGTCAGATCTTTGTTGAAATGCTTGAGGAGAAAATCAAGAAGATTTATAAGGAATTCGACTTTGACAAGAAGATGAACTTCACAGATGAAGAAAGGTGTGAGTTCAATGATGCATCACACAGCTGGATCTGCACTTAATGAAGGCAAACTGAGAGACCACTGCCATTTCACAGGGAAGTGTCGCAGAGCAGCTTACTACAAATGCAACCTACAATTCAAGAAGCTGAAGCTCATTCCTGTCATTATTAACAAATTGACTGGTTATGACTCTCATCTATTCATTAAGAATCTGAGCAACCCTTTGGGCAGGCTGTAAAAGCAAGGGAAACATCAAATGCATTCCCAAGAACAAAGAAAAGTACATCAGCTTTGGTAAAGAAGTCGTTGCTGGCCCGTACATCAACAAAGAAGATAAAGAAGCTGAAGTCGAGATTGAGCTTTGCTTTATCAACAGCTTCAGGTGCATGCCTTCATTCCTTGAAAAATTAGTAATTTTAGTCAAGGTAATCCAAGACAAACCAAGAAGGTCTTAAAAGCCTTCAGCCAGGGCTTGCAGGGGTAAGCCTTTAGCCAGGGTCTGTAGGGGTAAGCAGTCAGCCATGCCGTTGCACGGCAGGACAAAAGCCCTGGAGGGTCAGACAGCATAGCTGCAATTGAGTTGATATCAAGAAAGGGGGTTTATCCATATAACTACATGGATAGTATCAAAAACTTTGAGGAACTACCACCTAAAGATAAGCTCTACTCTAAGCTGAATGACTGTGATATCTCTGAAGACTATGAGCATGCACAGAAGGCCTGGAAAGAGTTAAAAATGAAGATGATGGGTGATTACCATGACCTTTATCTTAAGACAGACCTACTCCTGCTTGCAGATGTGTTTGAAGAGTTCAGAAATGTCTGTCATAAGAATTATGGGCTCGACCCTGCCTGGTATTACATGGCTCCTGGAATGGCTTGGGATGCTAGATTAAAGGTGACAAATGTTGAGCTTGAGCTATTGAGTGACCCTGACATGCTGCTGCTGATTGAAATAGGAATTTGTGGAGGAATCTCCATGATCTCAAATTATTTTGCACAGGCAAACAACAAATATATGGGTGAAGCTTGTGAGGAAACAAAACCAACAAAATACATCCCTTACCTTGAGTTTTTCAAGTTGATGAACAATGTGGTCTTTGGAAAAACTATGGAAAACATCAGGAATGGTGTGGGTGTGAGATTAGTCAACAATGCAAGAAAGCATTGAAACTTACAGCAAAACCAAACTTCAAGCATTGGATGATATTCAATGAAAACCTTGTTGCCATCCACATGAAGTGAACTAAGCTGGTGTTTGGTAAGTCAGTATATTGCAGAATGAGCATCCTCGATAACAGCAAGACTCTGATTTATGACTTCCACTATAACTACACCTAGAAGAAGTATAGAGATTGTGCAAAGCTTCTCTTTACAGATGCTGACAGTTTGATGTATGACATTGAAACTGAAGATTTCTACAGGGACATAAGTGGAGATGTTGGAGATAAGTTTGACATAAGTGATTACCCTGAAGATCATATGACAGGGATCCCAACTGGAAAAAAAAAGAAGGTCATGGGAATGATGAAGGATGAAGGTGGTGGAAAGATCATTGAAGAGCTTGTTGGATTGAGAACAAAACTCTACAGTTACAAGATGTTTGAGGGAAAAGAGGAGAAAAAGTGTCAAGGGAATAAGAAGGCTGTAATATAGAAGAATGTAACCCATGAAGACCACAAGGATTGCTTATTCTGTGGAAACATGCAAATGAGGAAAATGATCATTCTTGATGATTGTGCTGCTTTGAGAGATGCAGAGGAGAGAAGCAGAGGACGAATGAACTCATGAATTTAGCATTCTGCACAAGACATAAAGAAATCAATGTGAAGGTTCTCACACAACAGATAACAAGCATTGCAAAACCATTCAGAGAGACCACTGCTGCACTAGTTCTCTTCTACACACCATCTGCCAAGGATAGGAAGATCATTTTCAAGGATTAGGCAATTAATAGCGATGCTAAAAAGTGGTAAGTATTCACATCTCATATCCTCACTTCACCATCCTTATTGCATTGATCTTGAACTTTCATGAAAATATTTCTTAAATAAAATGGAGATGTCTGACAATGAAAAAGATACTGTTAATGATGTTCTGAACATTCTCAAGGTTGAACTCTCCAATGATTCAGAACATCAAGAGCAACTTGCCGTTCTTGTTGCAAGTGGTAAAGCAAAGAAAATGATTGGTGTATCTCTCACCTAGGATCAAGTCAAGAAGCTTACTCAACAAGATGTTGAGAAATACTTCAAGAGATATGAAGCTTCTTTGTCTTCAAAGACTTGTGATGCAATGATTGATACATTTCTCTCTCTCTCATGTTAAACATCAGCTCATTTTTTCCTTGTTGATGAAGGAAAACTTCTAAAGGACTTGACTGATAACTTCATGCTAAAGAGAGAACTTAGAATGATTGCCAGTGGATTGAGTCTGAAGTATGAAAGGCAGTCACAAGTGCTTTCCCACTGTCAAAAATGTTGAAGTACCTTTGGTCAATAATAAGGAAATAGATTGTACTTTTGAAGAAACTGATCAAGTTCTTATTAAAGTACTTAAATAAGAACTTGTGTAAGTACTTTATACTTTATAATTTTATACTTTATACTTTGTAAATACTTTCTGCCAGGCCTCGTAGTGGCTTAACAGGTGACTTAAACTGACAAAAATAAGAGGAGACCAAATAAAGACCCGGGGCGTGTCACAGTTGGCAAAAAATGCTGAACATAACCGAAGAGTGAGAGAGAAAATGAGGAAGAGAGGAGGTTTAAAGCAATCCAAAGATCCAAAGGATCCAGATGCCAGAGGGGCAGGATTATAACCAGAACCAGATCCAGAAACATCATCATTCTCACTCACTCAAATTCTTTCAGTGGCAAGTGTCATTCTCTCACTGGCTGGACTGTGCTATAAAAAGAAAAGAGTTGATGGCTCTCGTTAATGAACCACAGCCAGAGGCTCAAGCACAGCAAAGTAAAACATAGCAAAACACACAAAGTCAAATTCCTGTGAGATTAAAGTCGATGGATTGATTTTTTTCTGATTACCAAATAAAATGTCTGATAATAAGCTTATGAAGACATTGACCAATTCAGCCACTTTGACTGGATTTGCTACTGGAATCAGATGAGTTGCAAAGAGAAGAACTAATGACCTCTGATCCAAGTTAAAATCTCATGAACAATGTTAGGGTCACCATCATAATCACTGCATCAATCGCGGCAAATTGGTATCTTGAAGAACAAAAGATTTTGCCATCTTAAAAATGTTCAGCCAATTTGAATGAATGCAATTAAGTTAGCAGCAGTCTACACAATCATTGAGACTGCCTTAATATTCTATATCAACAAGGCAGAGGCAGAACTTTGTCCAAAGTTTCATGATGAATACTTGTTGTCAATTTTCAAAAAATAATGTTGAAGATAAATAAAATGGCAAGCATAGCAATAATGATTGGAGGAGTGCTCATCAATGCAACTGCATTTGTTTGTGGAAGCTATCTTGCAAAGTATTTGAGTGGAGACTAGAACAGTGTTTAAGAAAAGAAGAGACACGATCTTGCTGTGGAGAAGTACCAAGCAGCTTATGAAAAGTATCAATAAAATTAAACAAGCTCCTTGATTGGATTGCAACTAATGACAGAGTCAAAGAGCAGGCAAAACAGAGTTTGGTGGACACAGATTATGCTTTGATGCTGTACAACAAGGGGTATAATCAAGAGCTTGATCTGAGAGAACCACAACTTTCTGACTTCTACCAGCCAAGTGTTCAACAAAAGCAAGGTGAAATAATCTATGCTGAGGAATGGCATTGATTGGTTACGAGTCATTTCTTGTGAACTATGATAAAATGGAAAGAAAACTTTTAAGAGTTAAGGCTTCTGGAAGGGATTTCCAGCTGTGAGAAGCTGGCTAAAGAAGCCAGAGTGTCTGAGGAGGTTGCAAAGCTTTGGCTGATGAAGCAAGCCATCTGGCAGATTTATTCGCCAGCCCTGAAGCATATCCTGAGACAAACTTTTGATGTCAAATCTCCAAATGCAACTTGCCAAGCTGAATTTCTTTTCCTCCCTCATGACAAAGTGACTGCAAGGTTGTGGAAATTCTACAGGTATGCATTGACTGTTGTTGATGTTGCAAGCAGATTCAAGGCTGCTGAACCTGTCACCTCAAAAGAATTTTCTGAGGTCTCGAAGGCTTTTCAGACAATCTGTGAGCGTGGACCACTGAGATGGCCCAAAGTTCTTCAGGTTGATCTTGAGCATGAATTCATGGGTGATGTCAAGAGAGCTGACAAAGCATGATGTGAAGATAAGAAGAGGGAATATGACCTTTCACAGAGATCAGGGAATTGTTGGGCAATTTAATTGAACTTTGGGTGAATGTCTCTTCACTTTCCAATACATTAAAGTTGAATAGTGAATAACCAGGTTGACTAGAAAGAAACCTGTTGATGCAATCAGAGACAAGTTGGTTGATGCAAAGAGTTCAACAACTTATTCAAGGCCAGTTAGCCTAAGGAAAAAGAAACTTGACTCTTCAAAGAATGTGAGATATCTCTATGCTGCTGGTGAGCTGAAAGGTGGTCAAAGAAGAGCAACAGATCCAATCTGGTCTCTGAGGGCGAGTCTGTTTTTTACTACACGAAGGATTGACCAAAGAGTTGTTTTGTCAGAGAAGAGCTACAGTGTGTTCCTCTTGGAAATGAGTGACCTCCTAAAGGAATTCATTCATTTGAAAAAAAAAGAATTAGTTTCTCCACAGACCCAAGCAATCCTGTTGAATCAATTCAAGAAACTGATAAAGATATGAACAGTGAAAAGATCATCAATCTTGCCAATCCAAATGACCACTGAAATAAAATTTCACTCACACCAAAAATGTCAACTTCAAAAAACAATTGAAGAAACTTTTTCTTTTTTGATGAAAATAGGCATTTTGACCTTCATTTGATCAATGATCTTAAAATCTTAAATGTCTTCAGTGTTATCAAGATATGTAAGAGAAGTTTAAATGGAACATCAATACATACAAGAAACTGCTTGATCAGGACCGGATGTACCAATCACTGTTGTTGGAGAAAACACAAAATTATTCAATTTACAAAAAAACCTGATTTTAAATTTGTTTCTATTGATGTTAAACCTTCAGCAGGATTTAAGAGAAAAGCAAACCCAACAGAAGGAGGAAAGTGGAAAATTGTCAGCTGTCACTGGAATATGGATAGTAATGGAGATGCTGTAATAAATTCTCCTTCTAGTGTAATGGGAGAAGGCTTCTCAACTTTAGTGCAAGAAGAATTAGTTATAATAATTATTATAATAATATATAATAATTATGTATGTGGGAAATTTTCAAAACAAGATGAAGATAATTTTCATGAAGGTTTAAACTCTGACTGTCATGCTTTGCTCATTTACAAAGACATTCTTATGACGGAAGAACAAATCAAGGCACACCACAACTTCTTCATAAGAAGATACAATATTGATGCAGATCCTGTTGAATGAAACCATGAAGCATGCTTTTTCTTTCCTGCTTTAATATTTTGCATCTTAGTGTGTAAAAGCTTGAGTTGCAAAAATGAATAAATGGAAGATCAAAACAAAAATTGATTTGTCAATTAAAAATCTGTGTTTAAAGGTGACACTTCAGGACTTGCTTTCATGTTTGACTGCATGATATTTGCTCTTAGATATAGATTCTCTGATCAGCCCTCCAACCCTTCCTTTAACCTGCATTGTATTTGTTTACCTTCTTCTGGTTTAGGAGTAATAATTCATTTAAGTGAGCCGTCACCTTGAACTGAAAAAGGTGTAATTCAAATACTCCTTTGAATTGAGTGCTTGTGTTGAATGCTGAAATTCAAATTAAATAAAAAGCACAATTGTATGGTTACAATTTTCAGGAGGTAAAGGAAAGCATTGATGCATTTGAAGCAAGTATGAGGGCTGTTATTCCACCAGCTAGTCCAATAGGATTTGAGGGGTAGGTCAATACTGTGTTAAGCTATAGTCTCAATTTATCTGTCAGTTTTAAGTGAGATATCTAGGTGTGTCTTTTGCCCACTTTTTCAAACTTTTGAAGGACAAGAAGAAGCCAACCTCTAACTTCTTTTATATGGTAGTGCTAATGTACATGATGTGTGGAAAAATAGATGACTGACATTAAATAAGCTTGAACCATTATAAATGGCTTGTTCAGTCATTCAATTTTAATAATATTAAATGAGATGGCCTAGAAGACATCCACATGTATCAAGATAGCCCCTGAAAATGAATCAAAATGTTATAGTTTTTATAAACATTCTGTTCATTGAAAGTTTGTTAACTTGTGAGCTGTTTTGTATCCAGAGAATCTAACCGAGAGATTGACACTGAAATTGACACCTTCCTTGGTACCCAATCTCCCAAGAAGCCTGTGGATCCGCTGTCATACATTAAAGTAAGTAAATAACACTTAAGGCAGACGGGTAAAGTTACTGATTATAAGGGTAGCCAAGATTATGATTGAATATTTAACCTCAGTTAGGTTTAAGAGGGCAATGAAACCTGTATTAAGCTACAGACTTCCAAAGTAATATTGCCAACGTCCATTATAAGACAACAGATTTACAAATTGAACTAAACTGTTAACCCCTGAATAGATGAAGAACAGGGTGAGTGATTATATAAATTAACAAACTTTCAAATCCAGCTGTTTCCATTAAGAGACCCACAATTATGTTGTCCAATAAATGTTTTTAAAGAAAAAAATTGTAGACTTTATCTGTAATTTGAAGCTTAATGTTTTTAGGGACTATTTTGTGTGACCAAAGCACTTAGTGTTGGTGTATTCCTTTTGCTGAATGTACATTTATTTTACTGTAAATATGGATGGAAAGATTTGTTACCTGCAGGCTCAGCTAGTGTCCACTCAATAGAGTGTGTTTGTATAAAGTGGGGTCTTCTTCTTCCCAAATTGATTTATGAGTTTAACATTTTCTACCTACCCTATTGTCTATTTGTCAACTTTTAACAAAATAAATTCAGGTTAAAGGAATAATAATTGATAAATTGTTGCTTGTGGCCATCTCATAGATTGCATTTCTATTTCTTTTCTACTCAGCCCAGATCGAATGATGATTACATCAATAAAATCAGGACAAGACTGGAGGAAAACTCAGTTGCTAGAAAGGTATTGCATTTCTAAAGCCATATAATGTTGTAGGTGAAAAGATGTTATTATCATTATTATAGTAGCTATATGGTATATTATAAGTAACTGGACATGGTTTGACGTTACTCTGGTTTACAGATTTAATGAATGTAACTAGAGAAGTTACAACTCAGACCCAGTGTTTCGACACTCCTGTCTAGTGCCTTCATCAGGGGTGATCTAAATGCTGCAACAAGAGGTCCTTTTATACAATCACTAATTAGCTGCCTTTTTTCTGATGAGGTGTAAATAGGCGTCAGGAAGTAAGCCTGAGTAAAGTTTTGCCTACAGACTTTTTATGGCATAGGGTGGTGAGAATCAAAAGCGAGGTATTTGTTGGTGTGGGTAGGTTTATGATAGACACTTTTCTCTAAATTCCCCTGAACCCCTCAGGACATATATATTTAAATCAAGAAACGGCAAATGTCTATCATTTTCATGCTCAAGGGTGAATTTGATAAACAGCTTTACTGTTTACATTTCCGCATACTGCATAAAAACATCATCGACATGTTATCTAAGTCTGTAGCCAAAACTTTACTTAGGAGGGCTGTCTACCATGTTCTCTTAATTCAAGGGTGAGGAGAGGAAATATGACTCTGATGTCTTAAAGGCAAATGGCTATACAAAACCTTTTCTCTGTAACTGCCAAAAACCAGTAACAATTAGTAGCACTCCTGATGAAAGGGAACCAGTGACTGGTTTTGCCATTATTCCTTTTATTCAGGGTGTTACAGAACCCATCAAGAGAATTTTGAATAGCCATGACGTTAAAGTAGCTCAAAAACCTTTTCAGACTTTGGGGCATATTTTTGCCAAACCTAAAGATCCTATCACAAAAGAACAATGAACTGACGCCATTTATTCTATTCCTTGTAATGACTGTGACAATGAATACATTGGACAGACCAAACATCAGTTTTGTACACATTTGAAAGAGCATCAAAAAGCAGTTTTCTTTTGCAAAAAAGAAATTTAGCTTTATCGGAGCACACATGCCTAACTAACCACACAATTGGGTGGGATAAATCTAAAATTATCACTACTAATCGGCGTTACCACCAGTGCCTTTGTTTGGAAGCTTTAACTCTGCCCACGCTCCTTTAAATTAGTGATTGTATAAAAGGACCTCTTGTTGCAGCGTTTAGATCACCCCTGATGAAGGTACTAGACAGGAGTGTTGAAACATTGGGTCTATGAATTGTAACTTCTTCGGTTACATTTGTTAAATGTGTAAACTAGAGTAGCATCAAACCATGTCTGATTGTCCACTTGGTTGCCATGTGAACTTTAATATATTTTATAAGTAACTGTCCAAAAGAGCCAGAAGAAATTTGCCTGAAGCTCAGGAAAACCTTTTCATGCTGTTACCAGTTGATTAGCTGTTTCCTTGTTGTTGTTTTTTTAACTTGCATGTTGAGTGACAAGAAGTCACAATAACTACAGGGTTCCAGAAAATAACCAGCATATCCTCTTTTCTAGGAAAGAGAGAAGAGAAGAAGGAGAGTCTTGATTGAACAGATGAAGGCACATGAGGCTCAAGAAGTAAGATTAAAGAGGAAGCTAATAAATATCTTCTAAATGCTTTAAATTGATGTCATTGTTACTTTAACTTAATTGTTTGATGTTTAGAGAATGTGGTCCAGTTACAGTGTAGCTAAACATCCCTGGCAAAATCTGATTGAAGTATTCAAAAGTATATGTAATTGATGAATTGTTTCATATAATTCTTGCTTTGAAATCAGAAAATACTTCTCAGTGCCCCTTTTTCAGGAAGCATTTATATAACACTTAATACTTAAATAACTTTTTGTTTTGGAAAGATTCATTGCTGAACAAACACCAAACACTTATTTCATTGATACATTATAATAATTATATCTAGAGAAATTTAGGATTTTATCTCTATCACATGGAAATGTGGATTAGATAATAACCAAAAAATTGTAGAATGATTTGCCTGAATCATTGGTTCCTTACAAGTAGTTCATCAGTGAGTCTTATGCCAATTTTTCAGGACGCACATCGTGAAGAGATGCTTGTGAACAGACTCATGAGACAATCGCAGCAGGAGAGAAGGATTGCTGTCCAACTTATGCAGGTTGAGTCTTATGCATTGGTGTTACTTTAACTATTAGGCCTACATTTCTCAATTGTTGGTATCAGTCTTTATCAATACTTAGTAACAGTGACTTATTCAAACCAAAAACAACTTGTGTATGAGTGTCATAAGTGTACATTTTTTGGCAAATTTGATTTGATGGTTTTGTAAATTCATTTTCAATGTACCCTACAATGTAAGCTCCATTAGACTGTGAAGGGTTGGTCATAACAGCATTAAAGTTTAAAATCTGTGTTAAAAACTGCTGACATAACATTAACAGGATTTCTGGTAAATGCAATTGGCAGGTGATGGACTTATTAAAAATGCAATCTAGTTCCTGTGATTGTCATAACATGAAACTTGGATTTTGTTGGAACTAATTAAATCTTGGGTAACATTCTTTCTCCCCTAACTGTAACACAAAATGGACTGTTTTGAAATAACAGCATGTATTGGATAATAGAAATCATTATATGTTGCTGGGCTATGAAATACTCTTTCACAACGAGCAATTTTTATACAAAAAGTCCTGTCTAACTTTCCTTCTGATAAGGAGAACCTATGGATTCTTTGGATCAGGTATAACTGATTGGACTTCTTTTCTTCAATTGGTGTATTTTGTTGTTTTCCAAAATGCTGCATTATAACGGTTTAGATTTCAACTTATAGTAATGCTTTACTGGCTACAACAACTTCTCAATATTTTGCTGTAAAATATGAGATTTGCAAGATTAAAAAACTTTTGTGTGAATGCCATCAAATCAAACTTTAATAACTTAATTGCTTCAACTACCCACAGATTCGCCATGAAAAAGAAGTCATTCGTCAAAACAGGTATGTTGGGTACACGTGGAATAAGTTGTAACCTGCCTTTGAATAATGCTCTTGGTGGTAAACATTTATCCTTTGGTTAATATTCTTGGTGATAGTAGGTAATGATTGGTCCAAATTATTGTTGAGTTGACATTGAATCCAGCTATTTTAAAATTTGCACCCGCAATGATCAAAGATATTTGATGAAAGTATTTTTTTCTAAAAAAGGATATTTAGAGAGAAACAGTATGCAGAGAGAAGACTGAAAGACTTTGATGATGCATTAACAAGAGAAGCGGTAAGAGCTTATGTACATAATAGTCTCATGTTTATAACTAACATCAATGTCAGATTAAACATATTTAACTTTAGGAGCTGGTTATTTACAAATAATTTAGCCATTGTTTAACAACACTACATACCAATTGAAAGTATCTCCACTTTAGCCAAACCTTTCATCTGAATATTTATTTTTGTGAACAGTATTAAGAGAACCAAAAGCTAACAATGGAAATACCTTTTTTTTAAATTAAAATAAATCCTCTTATACACAATACCTGAGGCCCACTGCTTGCATGAAATGGTGGTTTGGTTTACACCCCACGTAAATAACCGCTCCTTAAGTTTTGGAAAATTTTATGGCAAGCTGTCACAAAATGTGCCTGTTGAGTATTGTGATATACATGCAGTATCTTCCCTTATGCTGCTCTGATTGTACTTATGTTGAAGTTATATTCCCAGGTAATGCAGAAAAGTTGAGATCATAAACTCTGTGATTTTAAAGTAACATCACAGTAAACTTTTCAACAGGAATTATGTCGTCAGGCCAGAATAGAATATGCAGAGGAGACAAGGAAAGCTCAGGAATTGAATGATAAAGTAAAAGCAGAAATTGCAGAGGCAAAGTATCAAAAGCACTATAATATTTGCAGGGAGGTAAGTCCCCTTCATAGTGCTTCACCAGTTCAGTAATTTAGTATACCCAGAAGGTTTGTTTTCTTGTTTTATCACCATTCAAATTTATGTAAGTTAATTGGCCAGTGACACTGACATTCAATACAAGAAATGGAGAGACTGAAAGAAAAACATTTCTTTTGTTGATGAAGAGGAGACTTAATTGTTTTGTTTAAATTAGTTACTTATCTGGTACCTCTGTAAGTTGATATTTTATTTAATCCTCTGATTTCTTCTTTCCTTGTTTTTTGGCTGTTTTTCTCTCATAGGTTTTGTCACAGATTGTGGACTTCTCTTGTAAAATAGGAGAATATAGAGAACTCACTGAAAAGTAAGTTTGAATGCATTGTATGCTCTTGAAAGGAAAGCATAGAAATTTTCTTTTTGCCAATTAATAAGCCTTCAAAGTCTTAATAAATTTGTACAGTTTTAAAGTGTTTTTAAAATTTAGATTAATTGGTTACTGTTGTTGGCATGAAACAGGGAAATAGTATTTAGGGGGTTGAAAATGTGCAAGGTGTGGTACATGTTTATATAATGTTGATTTGATTTGTTCTCATGTTGATGAAACGTAATTGGAGAAGAATTTTTATTCATGTCATATTGCTGTAATATGACAATAAATTTTACTACAAAAGATAGTGACCTCCTTTGGAGATCTTGCTATACATTTGCTGTAAGGTGCAGAAATGCAAGGATAAGATATGTACAAAATTGGAGTGTCTAAGTGTTTTAGAAATTACAGTAATATTTTCATTCTCTCAACAAAAATTACCAGACAGTGGACAAACCATTATTTGTGCTTAGAGTGAATTGTGATTGACTGTGATTGGTTTATTATTGAATGTGTGCACTTAGCACAACAATCTCTGTTTCATTTGACACAAAGTTTATGATTGTTTTAATATACCATAATCTGCTGTTCATTTTTATTTCCATCATTATGCACAATTAGAATGATGTAATTAAATTGTGCATCTTCCGACACAGACTCATTCCACCCAAGATGTTCAGAGAATGGAAAGCACTGTTCTTTGAAGGACTTCCCATTTATGAGGATCAGGTTAAGCCATTTTTTTCACTATAGATGTGTTGTATTTTACTTAAACTGCACTACAGGACAGCGTATTTGAAACACCTAATATAAATATGGCATTCTTTGTTCTTTTTTTCAGCCAACAGAAGAGTCCAGTACTGAACTTTCCAAACAGAAAGAAATTGAGAAAGAAAAAGAGGATTTGATGGATGAGGGAGATTTTTTAGAGTACAAGGTGGGTAGCAACCAAAGCTAATATGCAATTTCAAATTTGGTTGGAATGAAGTCCACCTTGAATTATAGACTAGTTTCAAAGGACAAAGAAACCTAAAAGTTCTGTTTTTTCTTGTTGTTTGAGTGTTGATCTCTGCACAGACTTGTATCAAATGCTTTCATCTTGTCAACCATGTTAACTTTTAAATAGCCTCTTTTTTGTATTTTAAGATTAAGTTTAGATTGAAATGATTTTACACTGGTTTCAATTTTTTCTGCACTTATCACCAAAGTCCAAAGTGTGTGGACAACTGTCTTATGCATCAAGTTATTTTTTTCTGTTTTCACATAGAATTTAATTGGTGAATGGACTCCTGTTGAAGAATCAGAAATCCAGGGTCCTGCAAAGGATAATGCAGTCCTAGGTCATATCATTCACAGGCTCTTTAACATTGTCTCTCCACCAGAGGTAGAGTGATTATGTATTGTTATCTCAAGTTCTTGAACTTGAGGTTAACCTCATAGCTATGTCTACAACTGTTATGGATATTAAACTGTAGGGGAAATATCTAGAAATTTCTAGAGTGCTTAGTCATGCTGACTTACATACCATGGAACTTTCTGGAACACCTGATTAGGTCATGTAGTCATGAAGTAACACTACCAAAGTAGTTGTGTTTTAAGCTTCCAGAATGTTCTAGAATACTTTGTAAATGCTCATAAGGACTTCATGGTGTAGTACTGATTTGTAACCAAACTTTTGGAAGAAAATTTCAATTTATATTTCAATAATAGGTTGGAGCAAATAGGTACTTTTGCTGTCAACAGATTGTTAAAGGTTTTGTTTATTATGTAGGCACCTCCACCTCCACCTGAGTTTCCACCTTTTCCAATCAAGGTCTGTTTTCTTGGAAAGTTTTTTAGCGGGAAAACCACAACAATTAATAAAATCCTTGAAGGTGAGTGATGCTTTGTTTATTATATAATTGTTCGTTGATGTTTGACTTTATTTTGATGAACAGGACGATTAGAATTCACACAAGTTTTTTTTTTTGGTGCTGATTGCAAGTCATAGATGAATGTAAGCAAAGTGCCTTGGGGTTGCTACTTTGGAACCAGTGTGTTGTTTAAACTGTGTGTGTGTGTGTGTGTGTGTGGGGGGGGGTATCTGTCTCTTTTATGAACAATTTTTGTGCCAAATATGCAGTGTTTTACTGTGCTTTATTGATATAATATTGTTAATGCTTTTAAAAACTTTCTTTTAAAATGTACCTAAAAGCTAGATGACTTAATTCATATCTTGAAATTTTGCTAGCCAGTTTTGGCAAGTGATTACCAAATTTGTAATTAAAGACTTGCTAACATTTGTGAAAAGGTGAGTAGGATCCCTTACCTGTTGATAATATGCAATCTAGGCTTCTACTTTATTATATACATGAAAAAATTGAGGTATATAAAAACAGGGGTTCTTTCAATTTCAAAGAAAAAGCTTTTCTCTTTTTCTTCATGTGATTAAAATGTATTCCATTCTTTGGATCATTCTTTCATTTCAGGTCATCGAATGGTTAGACTCTCTGTGGATGATCTTGTTGCAGAGGCCATTAATGCTTTTAAAAACAATGAATGTATAGAGGAACCTTCAGAGGAGACAGCAATACTGGTATGGTGGTTATCTTAAGATTCATAGCCATTAAGAGTGCAAGTACACAAATACTTGGTAACCTGAAGAGCTTAAAGACTTAGCATGAGTTTTTTTTTCCCAGGATGAAGGAACCTCCACTAAGAAAGTGAGCATCCATGAAGAGACTGGTAAGAGTAAAGACCAAGCATCTGAGGAGTCTAGGGCTGTGACACCACAGTCAGGTGCACCAGAAGAAACAATGGGAGAGGGTAGAGGTTTGTATTCAGACAGACACTTAAATACCTTCAATGCAGAGCCCTTAAAACGTTTCCTTTTCCATTGCCTTCCCTGTTGAGAAAGTGAGTTTGTTCTCTAGCCAAAATAAGAGGAAATAATTAGATTGAAAACTGAACAAAGTCCTGAAGTCCTTAAGTTGGAAGTCTTGGTTTCATATTCTCTTTAGTGTGGTTGATTAACGTACAGACGGAATGCAATGGAGTCAAACCTGATTGACGGCTGAGTTTGTGTAAAAAGCTCATCTTTTAGGGACCCAAAAACTGTGCTAACTGGAGCAGGCAGCAATTTTAAAAGAAGCCATATTCACATGGGGTTGTTTTTAGCAAGATTGGTGTGAAATATGGAGAAATATTTGAAATGACCTCTACAAACATTTGGCTCACCATTCATGAAACAGGTCACTGGAGCAAACATTCTCACCTATTGTTTGTGTAAAAATAGAAAATGAAGATCCTAACAAAGTGGAAGAAAAACAAGTCAGTGAAGCTGTAGATGTGGAAGAAAAAAGAGATAAGACTAAAGAAGAACTTGAGAAAGAAATGACTGACATAAAAGACGATGACCAGAAATCACCATCTAAGTCTAAAGAGCTGGAGCCTGTTTTATCAAGAACTAAGGGGCCCACTGTGAGTGTTATTTGACTGTCTCCTCTTCTACATTAATTTATTACAGGTATATTGGGTAGATATGGGTAATAGAGTCCCTTTTCAATGATGTAAGGTGGTTCTGAAACTGAACTACAGATTTCTTTTATTCTTTGTTGAAAGATAAATATCAATACTGCAAATATTAGTACAGTTTCTTTTAAATTTATGAACAGATCAAAAAGTAATGAGATGTGATGTCTGGAAGTAAATAAAGTCCTCTTTCAGAGTCATTCCCCTTGGGAACCTTTTCTTGGGCTCTTCTCTCTTCCCTATCCATAACAATGTTAAAGCACATATGACCTTATACTTCACTGAGGAAAAATAAACATCATTGTGGGCTGTGAGGAGGTATTTCCTTGTCATGAGTAAGTATATGTTTCAAATGTGTCCTTCGAGATTGTAACTCTTTCAATTAATAATGTTTTCCAAGAAATTGATCTCATTAAGATTGACCTCTGACCAGAATATGAACTTGTTTTTAATTGGTGATTCAAATATTAAGGTCAAAAGGGTTTCAATGTCTGTTATCTACCTTAACAGTGTTTGTGATTCGCTCTACTTTGTCACTGATTGATTGATGGTTTAATTCAACATTTGCTGTTGTTAGCAAAGGGTTAGCTATTAATGATAAACTTGTGATTTGATATATATTGGCAGCTCACAGTCCGTGCTAAATTGGGTTCAAAGGCTTATAGCTTTCTAAAAAAGGGGAAAACCACACCAGACCAATTATTGGTTGATATCATGGTAGAAGCTGTCAGGTAAGTGTGCTAGTAACTCTTTTGAAACCAAATGCCCATTCAAGGTGACCTATTTGTTGTAAGTTCTTTTTTCACATTTTGTCATTGACTCAGTGTCAACAATGAGAATCAACCACTAACAGGAGTGTGTTCAATTTGATAGGCAAGTCCCGGAGGGTAGCGGTTGGATCATGGATGGGTTTCCTAGTACAATTAACCAAGCCAAGGTATGTTGTGATTATTGGAACCAATACAGTTCCTAGTTAATATATGCCTGGAAATTATCTGAGGCTATTCTCTCCCTAAAAAGGAGGACCATGAATGGCTAAACTCCTGTTACTCCTCTTACCCATATCAGTTTTGTTATGGTATGACTAAAGGGCATCTCAAGACTCTCAAATTGAAAAGCCTGTGATACCAGTCCCTTGAACCCAGAGAAGAGTATTCCCTTAATACCATTATTCTTAAACAGAATGCCAATAACGCATTTCATATTTTGCATCCCAATTTCAGCAGCATTTTCCCAATCCTTGAAATATATCAACATATATTTCCTTTTTCAAGCAGCCTATAAACATTATGAATGGTTATGCACTTGAACTTGATGCTACACTTAGTTTATAGGGGGTACATAAGGTTTAAAGGTAAATTAACTTTGGCAAAAACCCTGCTTTATTGGAAAAAAAATACTATTTCAGAGAAAGTCTAAGAGTGGAATGAAAATCTTGTCTTCTTAGCAAAGTTTAAAATCAACACCCAGAGGTGCTTAATCAGGAAGATAAGGGTTTCACTTAATGTTTTCTCTCCAATAATTTCAGTTGTTGGAAAAATCACTCAGTGGATATGATGCACAGAAGGAAGCTAAGGATGCTAAAGCTGCCAAAGAACCTAGCAAAGTTAGCAAGACCAGGAAATCCAGACTGGCACCAGACCCCCACCCTTCACCTGAGGTATGTGTTAGCATGAAAAAAATGAGTTACAGGCTGACTGAAGCAACTAATCATTGGCTTGATGGGTCTACTGATTCATGACTTTTTTGTCCAAGAATACACCTGGTTTGATTTCAAAATTATCTATGAAATCAAATATTTTAAGTGCCCATTCTGTAATTTGAAAAGGTGGGAAATATGGATATTAACAAATTTGAAATTGATTCTCTTTTCTTTCTGATTTAATTTGTTGGCACATGCCAAGTTATTAAATTGTTCACCATTTTCGTTCTTTAAAGGCAGGCATTGAGCTTTACCCATCCTGAGTTGCTATCTAATTGCAGTCAGACTATGTATGACTTAAGTTACTCCATTGCCAATTGGAATATCTTTTCTCATGATCAGGCTCCTGCACCCAAGAGTGGTATTGACTTGGTATTGTTGTTTGACCTGCCTGATGAAGTTTCACTAAAGAGAGCTGAAGGAAGAATGTGTAAGGGCTTTATGACCAATCTAAATTGATTAACTTGACAAATGAGAACTGAATCTGGTTTATTATCTTTAATGCATAGACTCCTGAAGTTCCACAATTTTCCAGCCTCACTTTTGGCAAAAGGCATTGATATCCAGACCTTCAAATTCATTGCCATATGTCAAGTAGAAATACCTTTTATTTCACTAAATTCACACCATTTACACTTGAGTACCAACAAACTTTCTTTCCCTATTTTTTGTTTGTTTGTTTATTTTTTTCAAATTTCTGTTTTTTCTTATCATGCTGAAGAATAGAAGCTCTATGTAACCATTTAAAAATGCTTAACGGGAGAACTCCATTGTACATAAGTATGCATTGGTAGAATTTTCCTCTTTCAATATTAGGTTATTAAGGAGCACATTCTAATGTGTTTGTTTTCAGATGATCCCATGTCTTCCCAGCAGTACCATCAAGAGTATAATCCACCAGTAGAAGGCAGTTATACAGGCATTAATAAACATGAAAAAGTTATCCCCGTAACTGATCCTTCAAATGACCGTGAGCAAGTCCAGCAGAGGTTAGTCTTCCTCTTTATTCTTGTTATTCTTACTTTAATGAAATGATTGGGATTGTGTTGTGAAATTTAAGAGAGATGAAATATGACAGAGTGGATGCTTAACTCAAGAATTCTTAGACATATTTTTGAATTAACATTATTTGGATTTGTTCAATATGTTTTGTGTGCCAGAGTAATCTAAATTTATGGTTTGAAAATTAATAAGATGGGTGCAAGCAGGAAGAAGAATTTTTGGCTTGTCTTGTCGTGAGAGGTCTTTTCTTCTCTTACAGGATTGTAGGTTTTGGTGATGGCTGGCCAAAGCTAGAAAAATGGTTTGCTAAGTTTGGTGTTCTTCAACGCGTTGATGCAAACAGCAGTCAAGGTAAATGACATTTATACATGTACTTAAAATTTTATCTGCTCTGGAATTTTCATTGTATTGCATCAGTTAAGTGCTTTCTGATTTATATTGATCAGTTTAATGTCATATCCTTTAAGGGTTGGAAAATGATTCGTTTTTAGAAGATAAGCGCCATGGCACTTAACTAATATGTCACCTAATATTTTTCTGTTTTCGTGTTTAGATGAACTGTATGACGAAGTATCAGCCTTACTGAATGAAACTTATCAGAAATTAATCGCACCACCTGAGGAGCTTCCTTCTGTGAGTAGTCTTCATTGACTTTAAGTGTACTAAGTTCTAGTAAGAGGACAATTTTTCAGTAGACACAATAACCGGTGATAAATAGCAAAAGTAAACTACAACATTTAAAGCGATCCTAGTGTCACTATCAATAAACAAATGGAAGTTTTAGTTTCAAGTTTTCAAGCATCGATGCCAGATTTGTGATTAGTTTGGGTTATTGTTCGAGAGTCATATGAGCATTCTTGATCAACATATTTCAATTCCTTTTTACCTCATGGTATGGTGTTAGTTATGGGCAGGTATAGACCTAAAATTCACTCGCCCACTTAAGATTTCTTACTCGGTCAAGATCACTCACTCTATTCTTATCTGTTAGACAATTGATTTATGCATTGGACGTGGAGTAAACGCATTATCCCCTCCCTTCCCTACCAGGTTTGGTTCTTTCCCTACAGTTGTACTATCGTCTTCTGTTTATATATCTGGGGAGCGAGACAAAGCCAGGAACTTTTTTCTAAGCACGTGAGGTGATCAACTCGTGTAATTCAAAACTGAATCTGTCATACAATGTAGGTTCGATGATATCCAATAATTGGACGAAAATATCGTGTTGAAGTCATGATGTCCGGGAGTTAACATTGTGTATGTCCTTAAACCTTATACTGTAATTTTCTCTGGAATTAGGAACCCTCTGTTCACCAAGGACAGGCAGCTGAAGGTAACATTTACATACCTAAGTCACCATTATTATTGTAACATTTAGGACCTGCAGTTGAAATGTCTTTAAAGGGATTTCTATTAAGATTAATAACTTGGCAGTACAAATACATGCCTATTTGACATATCATCTTTGTGACAACCATGTTAAAATGGTAGCTTTCACTTCAGCTTTTTCCATGTGATTTTCATACATGTACCCTCTGATGTTAGTTAGCTGTGTGAGTGCATGGTAACTCAATCATCCATAACCCAAACTACAAGACACAGTCTTATTTTCTTTTAAATGCAATCATCTTTAACATTCTCTCAAATCATAGAATTTCTCAAAATTAATGATTTGACAACTTATGAGAGAGATTGACTTCTATTACAATGCAATACTCATCAGGTGGATTTTTCTTTAGCTGAGACGCCATCAGGGGCTCAGGTGCCTGCTGGTGATGGGCCTTCAGGTGAAGGCTTGGGAAGTGAAGGCGTTACAGCTCCTCCAGAAAGTGTTGCTCCGCCATCTGAGGCTCCATCTGAGGTAGGGGCCAAATCTGATGGCAAGTCAGAGAAGGGTACCTCAAAGAATAAAGCAGACTCTAAACCAGGTTTGTTTGACTCTAGTTAGCCTAATTACAGAAACTGTCATACAATAACTGGATGCGATGCGAAAGTTGCAGTGTGCTATGATATTTACCTCACGTTGCTATGGGAGTATAACTTTCAACTTCCAGCTTTGTCTTAATTACTCTTTGATTATTTTTTCTAACCCTGGTTGTGGACCAACTAGGTTTTGGTATTTTCAGTCATTCTGCTTACGTTACTTTTCATAGTTGAACAGCAATGATGATAAAAGAGCATTTTTAAAATTTACACTTTCACAGACATTTTAAAGATAATCAGACAAATTCTTTTCTAGCTGACCATTTAGTCTCTTTTGGCTTCAACATTTGGAAGTGTACATGTAATACTTTTGTGTCAGCAGCTGATCTGTTCCGGAAATTGAATTAGTAAGACATTCGGAGCTTCTCTTTTTGGTTCATATTCTGAGAAACATTTAACAAGTTGGGCCAAACATCACTTGTTGTTGTCCTTATCTTAAGGCTCTCCAAAGTCCAGGAAAAGCAAGAAGGATCGCTCACCCTCCCCACCCGCATCGAAGAAAGGAACTAAAAGCCGTACCCCATCCCCTCCCAGTTCTAAGAAAGGCTCAAGATCAGGATCCAAGTCACCATCAGCGTCAAAAAAGGGCTCTAGACCTGGTTCCAAGGGATCAAGACCCGGATCAAAGAGAGCTAAATCTGCCAGTATGTGTTTATTTTATTTTTGACTGGAGGGGCGGTTTCGACGTTAATGTTTTATTTTTCCATATAAATATATTTTCCTTTGCAATATTTTGGAGTCAGAGTCTACGCCCTGTCCTACTTAGGAGGAATAGGAAAGTTATTTAAATGTGATACTTCAAATACTGCTCATTCTGTTTCATTATTGCAGCATCAGGGATTTTTGAGGAAATTTTCCTAATATGAGCTTAACTTTGTTTTGAATCCACAAGAACAGCAAAATACATTAACACTCAGAGCCTGAGAAATATAGAAAGATTCAGGTTGTCGTGAGTTTGCGTGATCGGGAGTGGAGAGAAAAAGACTGGAAAGATGGAAAATATTGCGTTTGTACGTAGAGTACCTTTTAATCCATTGTATCATGGAAAAGAAAAGTTAAGTGGTGATAGAGCGTTTGAAGATGGAGTTTAGCAGCGCAGCTTGATGGAAATAAAAGTCATTTTAGTTAGCTTTACCTTAAACCAGTGAAAGCCTAACCGGACTCCAGAGATGCTAAAATGAGCGCCTAAAAGCACTAGTTTTCAAGGGTGAAATTACATTGAAATAATTTTAATGGAAACAAAAGATTGCTTCGACGTACCAGTTGTTCGAGCTAGCAAGTGTTTGAGTTACCATGTGCAAAATAACAGTATAATAGGTGACTCAAACCCAAGGAAATATTTTCTTATTCGGGTAGATGTGAGTTTTGAAGTAGCAAAGGTTCACTTTACGTTATAAACTAACAATAATAACTCAAAATAACCCTGATATCTCAGAGAAAGGCGCTGAAGAGCCAGAGGAGGAGATACCACCTGAACCCCAGGGGCCACCCGAGCCAGAGCCTGGTTCCGAGGACTGGGAATATGTTGATCAAGCTATTGATGTGGTATGTTTTTTTTAAATTCCATATCATTCAATGCTTACTGTGTTGCCTGTTAAATATGACCTTTTAGGAGTATAACATAGTTATCATTTGCTTCGCACATTGGACTGGCCCGCAAATAGGCAAGCTAATCGATGGGCCAGTCAAAGTTTATGGCACTCTAAATATATATTGAAGAAGAACAGAGAACGAATCATATATGGTATATGTATTTTCTTCTTTAGTACCAAACGTTTTCAGGTACATGTTTGTAATTTTTTTAGAGAGCTTCATAATTTACATATATGATTGTTTACTCTATTTTGGAAAGTTTCGAGTTAGAAAACCCGAATTACAAGAGGGTTGGTGCAGACATCACGTATATCGGCTCTTCCTAAACAGGGTTAAATGATTCCCCGTTTCTCTGACAATTTAAATAAAGTTTATACTTTCCCTTCAAAGAGGTTCCTTATTAAGATATATCCTTTTTTGTGTGTGTCCAAATGATTTTGTATCAGCAAAAAAATCATTGAGTTTCTGTTTGCGCTTTTAATTTGTGTCAGAAATCAGTATTTATTAAGTCACTTGTATCTCTGTAGGATTTTGCTGGAGTTCTTGTCTCTCAGTGGGAGAGTACTGAAGAAGTCTACGTTGAATCTTGTAAAAACGTCTTTGGATTGATCAGACGTGAAAGAGAACTTATCCATAGATATTTCTACGGAGTAAGGTTAGAGGTTCCCTTTAGAAGCTCGAATGTTTTATGTAATTTAGGGGAAGAAACCAAGCCAACAATGTTTTTACTTTCTTAAATAGTTAGCTATTTATGATAGTCACCAACTACCACATCTTCTACTATAAATGAACATGTTTCAACAGAGATTTGTTGCTTGGTTATTGATTATTTTTTCCTTGATGCCTTTTTGCTGTCGTTTTATGTGATTTAGTTCCTCAAACATCTCATCATTTCATCTATTGTAGTTCTTTTGACCATCCATGTTAATTAGATGATTTGGTTCGTTTTACAGAAAAGATTTTGTAGCGTTTTTGAGGAGGCCAGATGAGAAGCAGGAATATGTCCTTCAATGGCAAAAGGTAAATTCTAAAGAACAATTTAAACGGCAATCAAAACTATTTACAAGCAGTGAGAGGGGGATTTTGTCTTCCAAGATGCTTTTCACACCTTAAACATGGTCTCACTTTCAAGAAGTTTTATTCTTGGCCTACTCTCTAATTGTCGTTTTTAGACTATACTAAGGGCTGAACGCCTGATAGGTCCATACCTAGAGGTGCTGGCCTTTGGCATTATTGAAATGTATTTTCCTAGCAACGTATGTGTTGCTATTTAACCTTTGTTCCAGTAAACTTCTTCTAACTGGAGTGCGAAGCAATTTTCATGTGGACTGTGTATTGTGCCTGAAATAAAAGCAGACAGCTTTTCTGTTTACTCTTTCGAATTAGTCAGTCAACCTCTTGATGATAAAATCCTTAAATTCTGCACCGTAACTGTAAACCCTAAATGATCTTTCTTGTTTGGTAACTTATGGGTAATACGCCTGGAGCACTATTAGTTGCCACGTTTTGGGATTCTTCTGCTCAAATATCGGCAGTTTTGTTTTTTGGAATTTTAGAATATCGCCAACTGCTACTTTCATTATCTCAACCTTACCGCGATTTTAATATTGTAACCATTAACAGAGTTGCTTGTACGATTGATCTTGCAGTCGTACAATGAAGTGACTGAAGACATGAGAGGAGACGAGGATACCAAAGCGGAGCTGCACCAGCAGCTAGATGTTTGTACCCACTCCCCCTTACTTTTATGGAAATATTTATATTTACATTTAAAACAATATGTCGCGGGTGTGGGACAAAGATAAAGTCCTCAGCGTGAATTTAAACCTCAGCCTGAATTGCAGTGTTACTTTCCAAAATGTTTTACCATCTAAATTGCAGATGATTCGTCGGCGAGCTCTTGGTAATTTGTTTTTAATTTGCTGTAGAAAGAAATAATTGTTTTTTTTTCTCTGCAGGACCTTTGTGATCGTTTGAACGATATCTGTGACAATCGCAAAGACCTGGCAGAGAAAGAGCGTCAATCAGTGATGAATGAGGGCTGGCTGGAGGATCGGCTTGGTCTTCTCACAAACTTTTACATCACACTAATGCAAGCAGAAGTCGATAGATACCAAGATACAGTGCGGTTACTGAGGGACTATTATGTTGGTATGGAAGGTGAGGAGATCCAACTTGAAAACAGGGGCGCTCTCCTTCCAGCGGAATTTTTTTTAGGAAAATGGACTGGACTAAGACCTTGCTTAAGATCAACTTACTTGGGCGGTGCAGGTCAAATATGTTCGTTCAACAATAAAGGTCTATAAAACAAGTTGTACAAATTTGATGGCATAAGGCCAATTGTCACGCACTGATACAGTTTAGTGCAGCATAAACCGCCATTTTGTGTCTCAAGTGAAGGAAGCTAATCTGCATGGCGAAAGTTGTCGCTAATGTAATGGACAATTTCCACAAATATACATTCTTGGAATCTGTTATTAAAATTTTTCCTGTTCCCTTTGATTTCTAACCGGAGATTTCGATACCTTTGGCTCGATGGATAGTGCTCAAACATCCTTCCTGATTGTTAAAATTCTCTCCTTCGGGGATTTTTTGTTTCGTCGTTACGACTTGAGAGTGCTGTTTCTTTCAGATAATATTGCTTTTCACAAATGGTTTTCCCCTATTTCATCAACAGGTAAAATTCCATCAGAAGTTATCACAGACTACGCGCGCTTACCACTTGTTGAACTACCACTGACTGTAAGACCACAGTCTGCATCATCCAAGTCTGGGGGAAGTGAAAGTGTAACGAACTTAGCAGCCACCGAAAAGACTGAGGTCAAAAGTCCATCTGGTAAAAAAGACAGAGATAAGAGTTCAAAGACTCCTGAACCTTCAGAAGCACCGGAGGAGGAACAAAAGCCTCGGTAACTGTGCTGTGGATATGGCAGCAATCATCATGCTTCTCTGTGCATATATGTAATTTCATAAGGATTTCACAATTTTAAGGATCCTAACAACTTTTAGTGCATTTCTATCTCTATGAATACAAAATGCATCTAAACAGAAATAAGCCTGCACTAAAGGAATATAGCAACCGTTTATAAGTGATCTAAATGTGACGGTTATGAGTTAAACTTTTATCGATACAAAACACCGTTATGGTAGTAGGCCTATTTTGAAGGTTTGAGTTTTGAGTTTAAGAATTCCCATGCTGCATAAAAAACATACGCATCAGGGGTGAATTTGCGAGTGAATAATTATTACTTGTTTTGCAGTGCGGTGCTGCATTGAAACGTGTTGTAACCCTGAAAGGAATGATGTCATTGTTGGTCTCCTCTCATATTTGAATAAGCTGTATAATAAAGGGTTCCGACTTCTAGTTGTCCCACAGAATTGGTTCTGGCCGTGATGGCCTTGTCTTTCGACTTTGTCAGTTTTCAAGCGGAGATCTGTGTGAGAAGTATTAGAGGCTATGATGCCGAATAATTACACCATTTGTTACTATGGTAGAACACAAACTTCGTGCCTTTACTCGTGAGGAATTGACTTTTCAGTTTGAGCCGGCATGAACCAGGTGTTGTAGTTCGGCTAGACCTCATAGATGAAAAGCGCTCATAAACTGAAATTAAACATGCTGTTCACGATTATTGTCCAGAAGATTAATTTTACCTCATTTGCTTGCTCTTTAGCATACCTTTAGTTCCTCGCCGTCCGAAGTCTGGGGAACCGGGAACTGGAAAAGGAAAAGACAAGAAGAGTGACAAGAAGAAGGACAAAACCGCTGACCCTGATAAACCAGATACCCCTGTGCCTCCTTCAGATCCGGATGAGAAAGTGAGACAAACCATCAGTTCTGTTAATATATCTGAGAGGTAGCTTTGTTTAAAAGCTTTCCTTGGCTGGCTCATTGTAACATTTAGAGAGTTTAGGTCTGCGCAACAAATTTGTGAACAAAGATTCCCTGCTCATAATGATGTGGAAAAACAAATTACCCGATGTTGCTTTGATAAAAGCTCTCTTTGACTTGCTTTTTCTAATATTTGTAGATTTTAGGTCTTGGGATCAAATTTGTGATTTGTGATCAAAGATACATAGATATAAAGTGGATGCACATTTCCGTATTCTGAGCGAAAGGAACAAACGTTAACTTAACAGGTGCATAATATGGATCATGGTGGGATGAGTTGTGCAGATCTAAATGTTAGCGAAGCTCGCAGAGCGTAGCCCCATAATTATACAAAAAAGTAGTAACCCATCAAGCCAAAAAAAATTTGGATGTACGACCGCATGACCCTACGACCGTACAAGGTGCTACTTTTAACATGCGTGGTCAACTCTACCGCGGGCACGCCAACGCCACGGCTTTGTCCAGTAGTTCAGTTGTCAGTGTGCTGGGCTCCGAGTCGGACGACCCGGGTTCTAGTCCTGGCTGGGGCAAGGCGTTGTGTCCTTGAGACGTGTGGGGAAAAAAAAATGCGAGCTCCGCTTTTAGGCTTGGCTAAATCTATATATTAACTCGTAAGCCTTTGTATCGGTCATGACAGTCATGGATATCAACATAATCTTTCTTCGAGGAATTTTTCTCAGTGATGCTGCTGCTATATTTTCCGTTGATTTTACTAACCTTTTATGCTCTCTGTTTTTGACAGCTCGTCTTTGATGCTTTTATAATGGCTCTGACAATCATCGACACACTGGTAAGCAGTTGTCACTGAGTTTAGGCGTGTTAATAAGATTCTGTTATGCTAATCCTTTTTTTTTTTCACACAGGCCTTGATAGATCAGACAGAGCAAGAGGCTGAGGCTATAAGACAGGCCGAGCTTGAAAAAGAAAAGGAGAAAGAAGCGTTGCAGAAGAAAGCAAAAGACAAGAAAGACAAGAAAGGACGGAAGAGTCCTGGAAAGGGCGGATCACCGTCTAAGACAGAGACACCTCCTCCGCGTATGTTTACCGTTTGGTGTTGTTGAAAACTTATAGCGCATCAAAATTAAGGAATAAAATTGAGACCCACCCCTAAGCTCTATCAGCTATTGTATTAATACGCTGTATCAGGGCTCTTGAAGTTTACTTTACTGAAGAGTAGAGGAACGTTGTTATACCGTAGTAAATTGACATAGCTCCAGCCTAAGGGAAAACAGTGAATTTGTTTACTTATCTAATCATTTTTAGCTCCACCAGAAGACCAAGAAGGACAGTCTGAAGAAGAGAAGCTCAAGCAGAAAACAAAGGAGAGAGCAAGAAAGGAATTTCTTGGAGCTGTTGGTTCAGAAGGTGAGATGAACAGATCCCCCCAATCTCAGCTTCTTTTAAGTCTGCCTTACATCTGTCGTGCATATATTTCTGTATTTCTTGCCCTCATTTTACAAACAACATCGAGTCTTGTGTCTTTCAGACAATGGATTGAAAACCCGCCTTGAAATGATAAAAAACCACGCCATTGCGGTTCTACAGGAACTTAAGGTACTTGTAAACACTTTTTATAGCTGTTGGCCTAATTTTGAGTTGAATGCATCCCACCTGCAGTTCTTACATTCCGGGTAATGATGTAAGCTCTCTGTGATGTTGTGGATTTCTTTACTTCTGGGTGACCACTTGTAGAGCAAACCAAACCATTCCACATAACTCTTGAATGGGTATTATGGTCACGTGACTCCCCGTCTTTTTTTTTTCTGGAAGCGAGGGCGAAGTATTCCTTCTCTGAATTGGTTTTTAACTAATTCGTTCACTTCTTTGGCATGCTAAATAACTTGCTTTCGTTTTGGAGAATAATTGAAGATAATATTAACAAATTTGTATTTAGAGTCAAGTTTTGCATGGAAAATAACTATCACTCCTTTTGCCAATGTATCTTGGAATATTACGGTCATAACATGAGAAGTCTCTCTTTGTATTTGTAAATGTGTCCCTATCGGTGATGATGTCTCTCTCGACAGAGTTGGTTTGGAGAGGAAAAGATAGTTCACTGTGAAACAGAATACTAAATTCCCTCAACTGGAATATTTCTTTTCTCAGCGGGTTTGCTGTGTTGGATGTTGACGTTGATTAAAGGTTCCTATATCTATTTTTCAGCACGTCCCTGTCTAACACTTGCTCAAGGACAAGGCTGGCTCTGCTAGATCACCTGATTTATGAAAAGTGCTTACTGATGACTTCAGACGCAAATAAACCTATGTATCTTTTCATTTCAGGGAAAGGCGGATTCAACTTACAAAGACATGGATGACTGGCTGGGAGAAAGGTTCCTGCAAGAAGTTGGAAGGTGATTGTCGAAATTCTAAGTTCATAGGTATTACAAGCTGGTCACTGGTAGGTGAAAATATCAATGAATCCTGAAAATGTTAGGCCAGGTGTAGACGAGACATGACACAGTAGCCCAGCATAACACGTTTCTTAACTGGATTTTTTTTTTCGGTATTAGCATCAAAGAAATGGCAGAGAATATACGTTTTGCAGTGGAGAAAGAGGAAAAGTTACAAGAAGAAAGTCTTCTGATGGACAAAGACTTTGTTGTCGATCTGGTAAGAGTCTGATGTTGCTTTTCAAAAACAATTTTTTGGTCAGAAATGTCAGTCAAAGGAAAATGACCCCCCCCCCTCCCTCATCGCTTTGGAAAATCTGCAGTAAAGGCGTGGGATGTTTATGTAGCCAAATTGTGTCTTTGTCGTGAAGGTAAATTAAGGGAATTAAAGAGGACTTGAAACTGCTCCATACAGGAAATTTGCTGATCCCAGTTGATTTTATTCGTTTGGGGTAAATACTTTGAGAACAGGATACTACACCTAGTCACCTTTCAATCTGCACTACTGAGGTTCAAGTGAAACAAGTTGTGATTGGAAGTTAAGTTATGAATGGCTTTTCCATCTACTGTGGTAGGTACTAAATGACGTCCTCGTCAATGTGCTTATTGTCCACTCTGCCTTTATATTCTTACTTCCATACTTTACTATTGTCTCTTTTGTAAGGACACCAAGACGTTTAAGACACCCACACCACCGCCGCCTCCAAGCCCAACGGAGGTGCCTCAGAGTGACACATTTACTGTGAATCAACTGTTGAACTTACATCGACAGGTATTGCACCTTTTGTCTGATTGAATGTCTTGGATTGATTGGCAAATACGTAACAGAGACAACCAAACTGACAAACAGATAGTCGGACAGACAGACAGACAGACAGAAAAAGAAAGAGATAGACAACCAATATTACAAACAGAAAGTCGAACGGAAAGACAGACAGACAGACAAAGAAATAGTTAGACAACCAAACGGACAAACAGACAGTTGGACAGACTGATAAACAAAGAAGTAGTTAGAAAACCAAACTGACAAACAGACAGTCGGATGGACAGACAGACAGTTAGACAAAGAAATTGATAGACCAACAAATATACAGATAGACATAAAGCCAGAAAGTCACGCTGACAGACATGTTTTTTTATTTTTATTTTTAGAAACTCTTTTTAATTTACAATGTATTATTTGTGTGCAACATTGCAGATGTTGGAGACAGCCCCAAGTGGTGTTATTTCCAATCGAGCATTTTGTGACACCATAATGGATATGACAGCTTTAACCGTGAGTGCTGCAAATATACCCTCCAATGTTTCTGTGCTGTCGCTTGTTTTGTCTGTTCGTCTTATTATAGTAGCAGTAGCGTACATAAGCGCCCAATTTACGTTGCTTTTGTTTTTATTTCAACAGCACGGGATGGAGCTGCTACCAGACTCGTGGATGAACATAACACAGCAACAGGTGGGTTGAATAGCCCTGATACTATTTCAATCATTTTTCAAACCGCGCAATCCCATAGACAACCATAGTCACTGTGATAGCTGAAGTGTGTAGTGCCAGACGAGTTGATGTGAGCCGGTCCGGAAACAGCCGTCCGGCCCTTGTACAGCATTGTACTTGTACAGCATTGTTGCAAAAAGTGATCAAAAGCAGTGAACAAGAATGAGAAAATAATTTACGTTTTCGATAAACTATAAGTTTCTTGTTCAGGCTCAAAAAAAACAAAGGAAACGTTTTTATTGTAGTCTTTTTTGTGGTTTCCCGCGCGCGCAAGTCTATCGCGTCCTATTTAAGTTAAAACAAACTTTTCGAATGCTTCAAACTTAGTCAGTGATCATATGATAAAATGCTTATTGACTGAGTGTGGTCTAACCAGATGCGACGTGACCTCGAGCCAAATATATTCCTGTCTGGCCCTCCCGCTCAGTCAATAAGTACATACTAGCCACCGTAAAGAGTTTCAAGGCTGACGTCTCGAGCAGCAGCCCGTCATTAGTGCGAATGACGTATTCAGAGGTTCGCATAATCTTTCTGCATACCAGGGAAAATGACTTCTTATATTTTCACTCACCAGCTACAAGAGGTGTGCTCATTACTTGCTCTGGACACTGAGTTTATTGATTGGCGGAGGTTTCTTTTGGCGGCCGCGCAGCCCTGGCCCCCAGCATCAAAAATGGATTTGTTGTTAACGCTGGAACATTGTCGTGAGGTAGACACTACACTGTCAGGATCTCTAACCCAGCAACAATTTGAACAGGTTTGTATACGTCCGGCAGTGGTATACCTTAGGGTTATTTTTGCGACTACGTAATTTAAAGACTATCGATTTTTGTGATATCATTAGTGCATTGTCATGCGCATGTGCATTGTCCTGTACGTGCACATAACAAAGGATACTTTCCATTGAAGTTTGTTTTCTGATAGATGCAGGGCATGTTATTCAATTAATTTCAAAGGAAATATTTTTCCTGTGTATCGGTGGAGCTTTTCTTTGTCGGATTTAGGATCCCATTCGCCCTCCGGTTACACTTTTGCTTTGTTCTTGTTCAACGTATCAGACGTAAACACAATTTGATTTTCAGAAACTTTTAAGCTAGTTTCTGTCATTAAGGTTGCATTCGCACAAACACATGGTCTTTTCATGTAACTCGTTATTTACTATCTACAGCTGACATGTTCTCTGTTCTCACGTGTGAGTAGGTAGGACTTTGGTTCTCAGGGCAACACGAGCTTGAAAATCCTCAAGACCCGGATGAGTCTCCTGCATTTGACAGACTAGGCAAGCTAAAGAATGTAAGTTTAACAAGTTTGTTTTTAAAAGGTGGTTTATAGGATTGCAGTGTGCACCATTTTATGTGGTGAGTTGAGTAAGTGGATTACTCAAGCGAGCACTAAATTATGCAACGAAGTTACCTACTGACTGTAAATATGTGAAAATCATGAATGCGAACTGCAGATAAAGACGTGAATATGAAAGAGATCTTCGCAGTAATGAACATATATGATTTTCAATGATATGTTCACGATCATTTATTCATCACTTCATTGGTTTCTTTGGGACCAATATAGTGACTAGTTCCCAGTTTACTTGTAAGCTCAGTTGGTAGAGCACTGCACCGATATTGCAGAGGTCATGGGTTCAAATCCCGTACAGGCCTTCCCTTGGTGTTATTCAATTGCGAGAGGAAGACATTTCTTGTGAGAAAATAATACTTTTGTACAGGTTGCCCAGAAATGAACCAAAAAAACTGCTTCTTCTTCATATTCTTAAGCTTAACATTGAATTGTTAATTGAATGTAAGGTATAATTAGATAGGGTAATTTAGTATTATCAACAGAGTTGATAACGTAAATTAGCCACCGTAAAGAGTTTCAGAGCTAACGTTTCGAGCGTTAGCCCTTCGTGAGAGCGACTGGAGAAATTGTGTTTGGGTTTTTATGCAGAAAAAGGAGCTACGCTATTGATAAGATTATGGTAACGAGAAGACAAGAATAAATTAGTTCGACGAAAAGCGCTCGTTGATACCGTGGGGATTAAGAGTGCCGATTTGAAAGATGAGTTTTTGTTCAAGAATTCTGTGGCTTTCCGAATTGCCTAGATGTAGGGAAAGGCCGCAAACTACCACATACGGCCTAGAATGATTAGGGAGATTAAGGTGTCTAGAGACCGCTTTGGATGCGTCTTTGTCATTTCTTTCTACGTCGCTAAGGTGTTCTCGGAATCGGCCACTTAGTCATCTCCCTGTTTCACGAATGTATGACTTTTTGCAGTAAGTGCAAGTTATGCAGTAGATTACATTGGCGGAGGTGCACGTGAAGTGATCAGTGATCTTAATGGATCTCTTGGGTCCTGAAGTTTTCTCTAATCGCTTCGACAAAATGGGCTAACGCTCGAAACGTCAGCTTTAAAACTCTTTACGGTGGCCAATCTACGTTATCAACTCAGTTTATAATACTAAATTACCCTGTTATACTCTCCAATCGTCGCAGTACCACAGTTCCTTTAGAAACTTACCTCCTGTATTCATTTGTGGCATGATTAGATAGCTGAAAAATGTCAGTGATTTGTTTTATTGCAGGCGTTTTATCAGATATTTGCAGATCATAACAATGGCGTCCATACGGTGGATTACCTTGATATGGTAAGGGAATGTCGACCGGGTACTATGGGGTTATATTATCCTTAGCTTTGTCTTTCATGGCTCGTTACAACCTTTAAGGTAGCGCCGTAAATTCGGATTAAAAAGCATCATCGCAATATTGCGATATTCCCCATGATATTTAATAAATATTTGGAAAGGCTGTCGTTTGAAACAGGAAAGAAAAGTTTGCGAGTAAAAAGGGTCCTTTGCTTTGCATATTAGCCCGTTTTCTTTTGATAAACATGATGAATTCTGGTGTCCTTTTCCGGCCGGATATTTATATTTTCATCTGTCGGAAAATTTTGATGAGGATATGTCATACTGTGAAACTCACAATACTTGGAAACTGAACATGACCATTTCAATGTTTTCCCGTCTTTTTCAAACAGCTGTTGTACTTTGCTGTTGACCCAGACCCCTTAGAGGGTTTTCTTCGAGGACTGAGCCTTGTTGCAAACCAACCAATGCCGTCCAGCAAGTCTTTAGTTCATCTCCCTCAACCAATGACGGAAGAATATGGCGGTGACGTCAGTGTCCCACAAATCCAGGTCTGTAAAACATCACTAAGTATAAATGATCTATGAACGGAATCATTCTCAAGCGCGAATGGGATTTAATTCATACGTGGGGCATTTCCTGTGTTCTTCTCTGTTAAACAGGAAAGAAGAAGAACAACATAACAACAAAATATTATTTAGGACTTATTTTAGGACTGAAAAGTGCAATCATAACATTCAAAGAAGTTATTACAGAAAATTATATAGGCAGACAAAGTAAATGTTATAACATTTTCACTGTTTCGCAGATGTAAAATGTACTTATCAACGGTATCCAAACGACTTATTACGGTTGATTTTTTCGATCATTCTCTCGATTTTGCACGCAAGCTTCCTATTCAAAGCTATAGCGATAGTTAAGGTTTTGGTTCCAGTTAACAATCTTTCCTCGTCCACGTGCTGAGTACCAGGGCGGTGAACAGTAAGCACAATTATTAATGAAATTGACTTGTATCCCAGGAACCCACTTCACCACCACCTGAAATGAACTCACTTGTGACACTGGACAACCTAATGAAGGTACCATCCCTTGCTTTTTTCACTCATGAATCAGAGTCAGGTTTGTTCCAATCTTTTTTCAATCATTTTGTTTAATTTTGTCTCCATTGGCAGGTTTTTCATCATGGTGAAGGGCAACGGGAAGATACATATCGCCTTAATGTTACGGCTGACCCAGACGATACATTTGCGAAGGTAAGAGAGTAAAAACCGAGGGTGTCATCATGTTTCCAATGAACAGGAGTAAATTTTTTAAATGTCAAGCGTTCGTTGATACCGTGGGCATTAAGGGTGCCGATTTGATAGATAAATTGTTGTTCAAAAGTTTTGCGGCTTTCCAAACTGCCCATTTGTAAGGAAAGGCCGCAGACTACCATGTGCTGCTTAGAATGATCAGAAAGATTAACGTGTGTGGCAGCTGGTTTGGATGCGTCTATGTTATTCCTCTCTACGTCACGAAGGTGTTCTCGGAATCGGCCACCTAGTCGGCCATCTGTTTTACCAAGAATATCTTTTTGCACATAGTGCAAGGTATGCTAGAGATGACTTTGATTGAGATGCACGTGAAGTGATCAGTAATCTTAATGGATGCTTTGGATCAATATTTTCTCAACTTTATGAATGAAAGGACAGGTTTTGCATCGTAGGCGAGCGCATTAGAAAGTTCTGGGTTGGTCATTAGTTTGTGATGAACTTCTGACCACATAGGTGCCTACCTTTTTGTAACGTTTCAATGAAATAAGTGGAGGTTTCGAAAAGACAGTACCAGTCTCTGAATCATTATAAAGTAATTTAAAGTTTTAAGGAATGATGATTTACCTACGTGGTTGTGAGGGTGAAATGTGCGAGTGAATGGATTGCGATCGGTATTTTCCTTCTGTTCCGTTTGTAGTGCTGACTGTCGATCAATTTGTTGGGCGCGGTGGTGGCCCGCTTGACTGACTGAAACAGGATAGCCACTTTTTTTCGGAAAACTGGACCATTACCTCTGACTCGTCGAAAAAACCAGGGTCATCACTACAACTAAGTCTAAGAAAATGACAAAAGGGAATTGCAGTCCGGAAAGCCGCACAATTCTTGAAAATTCTCGTTATCATGTTCCCACCAATAATGTAGGTCCATTTCCTGCATGTAAAACACACACACAACCTACAATTCCCCCATTCGCTCTGACGAAGGTCCAACGCCCAAAACTTCAGCTTTGAAACTGTTAACGGTGGCCATCGACATTATCAACTCAACTGATAAAACCAAAATTACCTTTAGATTTATGTTTGTTCTCACATTCTTTAGAAGAAGATCTTGAAGTTTTTATTTTTACTATTTTTACTATTTTTATTATTTATAACAGGAACGTTTGGCAGGTGTGTTTGTGGAACTTGGTGTCGAGGAAACAGAAGCCGTTCCACTCCACCTCTTATACCAGCATCCTATTATACAGGACTGCATGCATATGTGTCAGCGGTTTAAAACATTGGTAAATTTTACTTTCGAATAATTTCTTTTATAGAGCAATGTTTGAGATGAGTTACATTAATCTGAGATTTTTAGGATTTCAAATTATCAACACAGCACAAAATAAGCGAGAACTTTCAACGAACTTACAAGTTAGAGTCAAATTCTGGGGGCTGAAATAAATGAAAGGTTTTATGTTAAGTAATTTTTTATTTATCTTTTTTTTCCCATAGGATCTTCGAAATTCTTTCAAGAGTTCTTCAGTTGATACATTTGAATAGTGTTTGACGACACGCACAATTTTCCAAGTCTGTGTACTTATTCATTTTCAAAGTGACCTTGTCAAACATTTCACACGCATATTTGAGTTCCTTTGTGAGTTTAAGATGTTCGGGAAGCTTGCATACACTAACTTACCTTGTAACGATTTATTTCTTGTGTGTAATAAATAGTTTTTAATGTTGCACAGTGGTCTGTCTGGGCGAAATTCAAGTAAAGTTTTCATTATGTTGCTCAGAAGCAAATCCCATCTAGTCGCTATGTGCTATTCAATCTGTGGTTGAAAATGGGGACACTTAGCTGGTGATGAGATATTGACCATCCATCTTTGTTTTATTCGTTCTTGTCTGGTATGCACTAAACTATAAGTTGGTATAACATTTCTTAATATTCAGTCCATGTCTACGGATTTATTGTACGCTTTGGAATACCAAAACTTGTCACCCGTTAACGCAAAGAATTAAAGAAAACAGAATCACAGAAGGATACCCCGTGCCGGCTTAATAGTCAACTCCAGCACAAAAGAAACAGTTTGGTACAATTCATTGCAGACTTAACAGGCCAGACCGTTCAGGTACTTGATATTGCCTGCGGAGTAGAAAATCGTGCACTGAAAAAAAAAAAATAGAGGATACCAACCATTGATGAGGGTATTGAGGGAATCGGTATAGGAAAAAGGAAGGAGTGAGGGAAGATTTCGTTTTTGAGGTGACCATGTGCAACACTTTCCCCCACAAAATCATGATGACGTTTAAAAGAAATTGGCGGCTTCATCAGTAATTCAACCAATTTTTGAAAGACGTGAAGTTGTTTTGAGTCATGACCATACTCGGAGAGGTGCCTCGACTAAAACGGACTCAAGCAAATTTTGAGCTGCATTGAATTCTTTAAAGGGTACCGACGGAATGAGTAACCTTCTAACTGACCAGTGTTTACAGTCCGATCGTTTAAACTGATTAGAAGTAGGAGATTCAATAATTACCGGCAATATGTCTCTGAAGATGAAACTATTGAGAGGTGAAAAGTAGTCATAGGAAATGTTGTTTTTCATTCAGGTTTGATAGATAAATGAAAGTTTCATCGTTTGCCTCACCATGTAAGATTCAATCGTGTTTTTATCGTGACGATTCGCCTGCTATACTGCAAGTGTTCGTGAGGTAACGAGGTCGAAAATTTACTTGTCGCTGTTTATAGCTCATTAGTTTGTTGTTAGTGATGTGTTGTGGCGCGCTGTTATTGGTGCATTTGGATCCTCGTTACATCGTTTCAAGTATTTGATATTGTACCCTCGTTACTGATTGGCTCTTTTGTTTTTTTCATAGTGTGCACCCATGATTTATTCCGTTATCTCCATTGATGTTATTAAGATGGAGTCTTATTGGATGGCTTCTTGACTTTCTTTAATCCTACGCGTGTACCAGTGAAAGTCACGACCTGGTCCCAAACAGTAACGTTTCCTGTTTCATTGGCGCACTGTGGCGGCATATGTCTCTTTTCTGTTTCTTTAATTCTCTTTTTCATCGCTCTCCCGGTTTCTCTGGTGTATAATTGCCACAATTGCACGGGATATTGTTTGCAAACAATGCCGTCCGTTTTGCCAGATGGATGCGATCTTTATGGTTAGGTTAATTGTACCTGCGCGTGGTTCGGTTAATCTGCAAGAAATAAAAATGCTATTTCTGACGAATGAGCTTGCGAAGAAGGCTGAAATAAATGTTTTGTCAGCAAGAGACACTTCACGACCTGGGTACCACACCGGTGCATCACGGGCACAAGGAATAGTCAGGATGGGCTTATAGTTTCCGGAGCGAGAGCCTCAGTTCCTACCCAGATTTCCTTACTATTTTTTTCTCATCGGGGTTTTTTTGGCAGGTTTTTTTCTGGCCTCCGTTCTAATCGCTCTTCTATTGTTAGCGGTTGCTCGGCTCCATCTGCTTGAGTATCCAAAATTTCTTTTTTCTTTTTTCGTGTTTTACATGTGTCTTAAACTGTCTTATATAAGTTGCTTTTCAGTGTTTCGACTTCGGTGACTCATTGATCAGTACCATAGCTCTTAACTATAGACTGCTTACGTAATGTTATTTGCACTTGCTTTTGTAGCCTTATTGACAGTTTTTTTTTAGCATAACTGGCATGTTTCGTTTCTACACCTTTACATGAGGGGGCTTTTGGTTCAATTAGAGGACTTTCCAGCCTAATTTGCATTTGTACGCCAGGTTTACTTGATTATATGACGAAGTTCGGATGTAACGCGCGCCGTCATTGACTGAAAGGGCGTGCTCTATCAGAGTACAAAGCATAGAGCTGCGCTCAAGCTTTCACGCCATCAGCCAAATTGTCCGACCATTTCCCGGACTTCTCTTTAGCTTTTTTTTCGTCAATATAAAGTGAAATTTCGGAACAAAAGAGCCGGCAAGTAGCAACAGAAGAACGAAACAAAGGTTTGTGAACATGCCAAGCCCCGTAATTTACGTGATTATAACGTGAGCAGAGATAAAAATTCTCAAAGAGTAAAACGAAATGGACAGCCTAACTGGCATGTACGATTTGTACACGTGTACATATTTGAGATTTAAGTTCAGAGAAGTGGACTTCTCAGCCTTACTGGCAGTTTTATGTTAGGTTTGTTGGATTGTAAGCTTATTAGCCTAACTGGTATGTACGATTTGTACTTGTGCACATATGAGGTATTTTGGTTCAAAGTAGTAGACTTCCCAACTCGACTGGCAAATTTATGCATGCTTGATTTTGTTTTGATTTGTAAGTTTGTTACCCTGACTAGCATGATTTGTACACGTGCGTATATGGGACATTTTGGCGCAAAGTAGTGGACTTCTTAACCTAACTGGTAGTTTTACGCTAATTTTGTTTGATGCGTAGTCTTATCACCCTTACTGGTATGATTGATTGTACATGTACTTTTTTAGATTGTAGTTCTCAGAGGTGGATTTACCAGCTTAACTGACAGCCGGACGGAAAGATTGTGCAGATAACGGCCAGTTTTGCATGGACATCACGCAGTTGGCCGTGATAGCATGTTATACTTCTTTAAGACGAAAGGTCGAAGAACACTCTTATTAATTTACTGTACCTTGTTCACATAAGCTCTTACGGACTTTTTATGGGTTGGTTCTTTCTAGGTCCTCCCCCAAAGATCTTATGTGTCAACCCTAACTCTAAGCTTTGCTATTTGCGTGCATGCCGCTGTGCTTGTTGGGTTTTTTCATTTACTCAGACATGAGGACGTGTCGGAAGTCTAATATAATTTTTTTTATCATGCTACATTTCTTTAATGTTGGGGGGTCCGGGGCAAGATAACATCGCACTGACGAGATGACAGGGCGATAAACAAGGTTTTGTTACAATGTACATTTGAAACTCCAATGAAGTCTTACTATAATGTGTAGACCTCACGCGTGCTTACCCCATGTAAGGTATCCTAGTTCTGGATTCCGCTGTGATGTTACATAACATTAATCTGTTAGATATAAAAGCTAAAGAAAAATGGTAGAGGAGAAAGTCAATCAAAAATACAGACTCGAAGAAATTATGAGCCAATGACCACTCCTTTATTTCAATGTATGTGCTTTACAAAGCTATTGATTTAACATCTGCGCTTCATGGAATTTTATATTTGACGGACACCCAGTTTGAATGGACGTTAGTTTAATAAGTCCTTACTGTTATCTTCAGCATTAACTCCAAAGTTGGTCTCCACTAAGTGGACACGTGCTCACGCGTTCGCTAAGTGGCACTTGTAATTCTCACGCAGTAGAAGACCTCGTAGTATGTGGAATCCTTCCTGAGCTACATTACAGGCGAAGCCTAACCGTTAGTCAACTATAGGGAACTGTCCCCCTTGATCAGGTCTTATTCGAATTCCATCGAAATCTTTTTTGTCGGGACTGTTGGCTCTTTAGTGAACTGTAAGTATTTACTTCATGAAATTTTCCTTCATTGAATTCGTGTTTTTAGAATCAGCACACATATCGAGGGTAGTGAAAATTTTAAGCAACACATTTGGAAAACAATAAATTAGTTTTTTGTATGCTTGTGTTACACATGAAAGAGAAATTGCATTTATTTAGGCAACGACTGACTCCTAAGGCCTACGATTAAAATTCCAGTGGCTGCGGCTGTTCTTTGGGTTTTTTTCGCAATGCCACAGATGAATCAATTTAGTATGAGCCGCATTCTTGAACAATCAAGATCTGATAGAAATCCTCCCAAATAAAGGCCCACACCTTTTGTTTGTTATGCCTGAGAATCTAAAGTTTCATCAAGGCAGTAGCACCAAGTTGACAATTGTAATAATTCTCATTTACTTCCTCCTTAACAGCTTGTCACAATTGTGAGAAGAATTAGAGAGGATTAAAGAACATGAAGGAGATATACAGCTTGCTCGCACTCAGAATTCGGTGGCTTCAGAACACACCATTCTCGAACTTATTTCTTATGCACGAGATAATTAACCACTTGTATGTCACCATTTGAGTCACATGGAGGCCTTTTGATACCTCGATCGGTTAAAAACAGATGCGCGAGATGCGTGTTTGGAAATCAACTAGCCAAAGAATGCAGTACTCCAACAAAAAATTGTTCACCTCCAGGATTACAGTACCTAATGAGCATCATTATCTGGACGACTCGGGAATATCTCGGCAGAATGAATAGTATAAGGCCTGCGTAATCTCGAAACATTAAACTAATCTAATCAAGACACAGCCCTGGAATTAGAACACAAAAATGAAAAACATTAAAACTTCCCAGTGACGAATTGAATTCAATATTCAGTTTAATCTTAATGATCCTGAACTCTTCTTGGATGCTGAAAAGACTGATACTATCTCAAAGAGTTGAATAGAGCCTGATGATATCAAAATTTTGAGTGTTTAGAGGATTAATGGCCACAATAAACACCAAACATCAAATTGCTGTGTATTCCACCTTGAGGACTGAAATTAGAGATTACCCATCCCAAGCTGGTCTATGGCGTCTACAAATCGACAATCCTTTCCAATACAGATTCTAAACAGGATCGTCACTCGCTTAGTAAATGCTAGAGCCTTTCATGATAACTACGCCTCTAATCCCTTTGTGTTCCAAAAGAAAGGTGCCAACTCCATCCTTCAATATTTTGGAGGTGAAGAGTATTCGTTTCAACCCTTGTAATTGAACAGTAATA